GAATATTGATTTGTAATAATCAATAAAATAACGAAACAATTTACTCACGTATACGTATCAGAGGCAACTGAAAATCGTGTATGTATAAACATTCTTAATTTAAGATGACAGGCGTAACAGCATACGTGAGAGTCAAACAGAGAAACTGTAAACAAAACGACCATCGGTTTTATTGCTTCGACTTCCGCTTATTATATAAAACATTGGGTCTTATTTTAATTCTTGACGGTGAAATTCACAATTGGTTGATTAGTGAGCGCATAAAACAAATGCAGGTCTGTAATGTTAAAGTCGATGTAAATAAGCGTGCTACCCTTATGTTTCAACCGAGTTTTTCCTTTAACAAATTTTGTGTCTACCAAATTGGGTTGGTTGGGGTGTAATACTAATAATAAGTGTTGCCTTTAATTTAATCAATAAAATAAATTGACTTCATTAATTTTTTTGAACCACCTCTTAAGAAAATCTAAAAAATATGAATGGAATGATAAATCACAAGTACAGACTCATCATATTTTGTACATTTTAGATACGATTTATTCGGCAAACTTTTGAGCTGACGTCATCAGTTTTTTGTAGAAGATAACCAAATATATTTTGACTAAAAATTTATTATGCTCTTTATAACCTTAAAACATCTGCAAGATTTCAAAGCATTCGGTTTTGTAGTTCCTGATTAAATCAATAAAATAAATTTACGCATTCATTAATTTTTTTGAGTCACCCTGTATATGCAAATCGAAAAAATTTGAATGGAATGATAAATCACAAGAAGAGACTCACCATATTTTGTACATTTTAGATAGGATTTATTCACCAAAATTTTGTGGTGACGTCATAAATTTTTTAGGGGGGACGACCAAATACGATTTGATAAAAATTTACCATGCTTATGATAATTTTAAAATATCTTCAAGATTTCGAAGCATTCGGTTTTGTAGTTCCTGAGTAAATCAGTAAAATATATTTACGCATTCATTAATTTTTTTGAGTTACCCTGTATATGCAAATCCAAAAAATATGAATGGAGTGATAGATTACAAGTACAGACTCATCATATTTTGTACATTTTAGATATGATTTATTCCACAAACTTTTGAGCTGACGTCATCAAGTTTTTGGAGGGGATAAGCAAATATTTTTTGACTAAAGATTTATGATGCTCTTTATAGCCTTAAAACGTCTGCAACATTTCAAAGCATTCTGGTTAGCAGATTAAAAATTAAATTTCAAAATGTTGTTTTATAATTTTGATTTTTTTTCCAAAAATCTGGACGTTTCGGGTGAAAAGTCGATTCAGAGTTGTAAACTACATGTGTAGGACTATGTAATTTTATACAATTGAAAACCCATTTACTATGTACAATTTTGAAGTGACGTCATCGCATTAGTGGTGGGGATGATTAGACAAATTTTGGTTAGCGTTTTACCATCTACATGATATTCTTAATATAAGTACAAAATTTCACAACAATCGGTCGAGTACTTTCGGAGATTATCTGTTTAATAAAAATCCGGGACGGCAGACGGACAGACGGACAGACGGACAGACGGACGGACAGACGGACACACGGACAGACAAACGGAAATGGGAGACCTAATTGTTGTGGCTACCACACAATTGGATACGCGGACGATCTAGTCATTCTGCTAACAGGAAAAAACGCAGATACATTATGTGAGATAATGCAAGCTGCAGTAAAAATAGTCGAGGAATGGTGCAACAGACATACCCTCTCCGTTAATGGAGAAAAGACGAAACTAATCCTGTTCACCAGGAAAAGGAAAATTGGCACACTACAGATGCCAAAAATATTTAACACAACGCTTCAACTTTCGGACGAAGTCAAATACCTGGGAGTTGTATTGGACTGGCGACTGAATTGGAAGAAGCATGTAGATGATAAAGTAGAAAAGGCACGCTCGGCTCTCTGGCAATGTCGTAGGGTGGTGGGAAGGTCGTGGGGTTTAAATCCCAAGATCGCCCTTTGGATCTACACGGCAATAGTCAGACCGATGCTGTGCTATGGAGCTTTAGTTTGGTGGCCCAGAGCCAGACAAAAAACAACAGCCCTGCAACTTGAACACGTTCAGAGAATGGCGTGTCTCAGTGTTACAGGAGCAATGAGGACCACTCCCACAGCGGCTCTGGAGACTCTTCTTTGCTTAGCACCTCTCAACCTTTACATAGAGGAAGCGGCAATGACGACGTCTCTAAGACTTCACTCTCTGGGAGTATGGAACAAGCAAGGCCGCACAACGAAGCACACTCGGATCTTAACGGAGGCGTTCAACAGAATACCCTTGTTGAGGATGGGTTGTGACCGAATGGGCACAAAATTAATATATGAGAAGACATATAGAATATCAATGAGTGATAATTCAGAAGGACGAGCCGACATAGATATCTATGTCGATGGTGCCAAAACAGATAGTGGTTCAGGAGCCGGCATCTACTCCGAACAACTGAACGCACAAATCAGTGTACCTCTCGGCACCCACACGTCTGTCTTACAAACAGAATTGATGGGAATAATGCTGGGAGCTAGAATCATTGCTGAACGTGAAATCGGCAACAAATCAATACGCATACTTACTGACAGCAAGTCTGCACTACTAGCCCTGGACAGCTGTATGGTTCGATCCGGGCTGGTTTGGGAGTGCAGACAAACGCTAAAGTATGTAACGCAGAGGAATAGTGTGGTACTTTGTTGGATCAAAGGACACAGTGGCAACGAAGGAAACGAGAGGGCAGATGAGATGGCGAAGCGAGCCGCGCGTATGCCCTTCTGGGGACCCGAACCGGCAATCACGCCTTCGGTCGCCCTCTCGAACGAACTCGTAAAGCAATATACCCATAGACGCCATGAGCAGATATGGGCGACGTTGAGCAGCTGTCGGCATAGTAGAGCTTGTATGGCGACACCAGACCGTAAGTTGACAAAATTTTATCTCTCACTTTCAAGGGACAAACTGCGTAAACTGGTAGGATTCCTTACGGGACATTACCAGTTTAACAAACATCTACATACGATAGGGGTAGCAACAGACCCAATCTGTCGTGGATGCAATGAAGAAGAGGAAACAGCTGAGCACATTCTTCGTGAGTGTCCAGCCCTAGCCTCCTACAGGGAATCCATACTAGGGGACATCTGGCCTAGTATGGCAAATATCAGGGAGTTTCCACCCTCTGCATTACTCAAGTACATTCAAGCAGTTGGATGGCTTGACGAGTAGAGGAGCGGGAAAACACCCTGATATGGACTTGGGGAAGGTACAATGGGCCCAAAGGCGAGGCCTAAGTGCCGGCTGGCTACGGTCAGCCCCCATAAATTAAGAATCCAGAAGAATCCAGAACCAAATATATTTTGACTAAAAATTTATTATGCTCTTTATAACCTTAAAACATCTGCAAGATTTCAAAGCATTCGGTTTTGTAGTTCCTGATTAAATCAATAAAATAAATTTACGCATTCATTAATTTTTTTGAGTCACCCTGTATATGCAAATCGAAAAAATTTGAATGGAATGATAAATCACAAGAAGAGACTCACCATATTTTGTACATTTTAGATAGGATTTATTCACCAAAATTTTGTGGTGACGTCATAAATTTTTTAGGGGGGACGACCAAATACGATTTGATAAAAATTTACCATGCTTATGATAATTTTAAAATATCTTCAAGATTTCGAAGCATTCGGTTTTGTAGTTCCTGAGTAAATCAGTAAAATATATTTACGCATTCATTAATTTTTTTGAGTTACCCTGTATATGCAAATCCAAAAAATATGAATGGAGTGATAGATTACAAGTACAGACTCATCATATTTTGTACATTTTAGATATGATTTATTCCACAAACTTTTGAGCTGACGTCATCAAGTTTTTGGAGGGGATAAGCAAATATTTTTTGACTAAAGATTTATGATGCTCTTTATAGCCTTAAAACGTCTGCAACATTTCAAAGCATTCTGGTTAGCAGATTAAAAATTAAATTTCAAAATGTTGTTTTATAATTTTGATTTTTTTTCCAAAAATCTGGACGTTTCGGGTGAAAAGTCGATTCAGAGTTGTAAACTACATGTGTAGGACTATGTAATTTTATACAATTGAAAACCCATTTACTATGTACAATTTTGAAGTGACGTCATCGCATTAGTGGTGGGGATGATTAGACAAATTTTGGTTAGCGTTTTACCATCTACATGATATTCTTAATATAAGTACAAAATTTCACAACAATCGGTCGAGTACTTTCGGAGATTATCTGTTTAATAAAAATCCGGGACGGCAGACGGACAGACGGACAGACGGACAGACGGACGGACAGACGGACACACGGACAGACAAACGGAAATGGGAGACCTATTTCTTCTTCTAGGGGTCATGAAAGATCGAGAAAACGTAAAAGTAGAGAGTCGGCCGACGGACTCGATTACAATACTTCCTTTGCTTACGCTCGGGAAGTAAAAATTAACTTGCTTAAATATTGTTTAATAATTTAGATTTTTTTCCAAACATCTGAACGTTTTGGGTAAAAACTACAAGACATGTTATTTTATGCAATTTAAAACCCATTTAGTGTGTACAATTTTGAAGTGACGTCATTACATTATTGGTCGGAATGATTAGACAAATTTTGGTTAGCATTTTATCGTCTACATGATATTCCTAATTTAAATACAAAATTTGACAATAATCGGTTCAGTACTTTCGAAGAATATCTGTCTAATAAAAATCGAGACGGCAGACAGACGGACAGACAGACAGACAGACGGAAGCGGGAGACCTATTTCTTCGTACTCTAGGGGTCATGCAAGGTCGAGAAAAAGAAAAATTGGATAAGATTGAACATTTTTTTAATAACGCGTTAATTTGAAACTGACCCTTTTGTCATTAGAACTAGTATATACACTTCTCTAATTTTTTAACATAAGAATAGTAGTTCCTGCGTATTGAGATTTTGATTGGAATCACCGCTAACTTAAAAAAAAACGTTTTAATACTTATACTACTTTATTTAGGAATTACAAAATAAATAACTGAGGTATCTACAATACTATTGAAGTAACTACGTCAGTTAATAGAAATTAAAAAATAGGTATACGACTCCGATGAGTGCTAAATTTACCAAGTGGTAGGTATTAATCGAAGCACCACTGGTTGGGGAAAAGTAATCTTTAAGTTTTCCTTCCAAAGTGCTGATTGTTTTCAAGTTTGTTGTAGCTGATTTAACTGCTTCGTTACCAACTGCTACAACACTTTCATCTAAACCTTCCGTTTTTAAGAACCCGCTCAACTAAAAATTACAGATTAATAGTGGGAACGAACTTAACTAAAACCCACCGTATCAATTTGAGTCTGTTTTGTAATAAAGTCAGCGACTTTGGTTATCAAAGAACTGAGAGTGGATTGAGTTCCAAAGCTGAAATTTGTTTGGTTAAAAAAGAAATTTTACTGCATAATTTCACCTACTGTGTTTCAAAATCTTTGTAGTTATTCTTTATAAACTCCAGCGTATCATCAACGCCTTTGTCCTCGTTATTAGCGTACACAGATTGGAACACATATCGCACATCTTGGATTCGGATTTTATCAGATAGTGCTAGCTTCAAATACCTGCAATTTCGCATTAGCTTTGAGGAATTGAAAACAAAGACCAACTTACTCTTGTCTGAGAGTGGAATCGTTGATACATCCTAGAGCTTTGAGTATTGTCAATTGTTCGGTAGCTAGTTTGGTTGAGACATATTTATTGTACAAAAACTTGTAATCTTCTGTAGGGTTTTTGCTGTTTTTCAAACCGGTACAATAGATAACACTTTTCAAGTTACGACTTGGTCTAAAAATTATAACGGTTAATGAATGATTTTGACTGTTTCGAAATAGTTACATGTTGTTGTCCGTCGTGTAACTAGTAAATGCCGCTGTAGCGTTGTTAACACAGTTAGCTTCTCCCAGATTACAAGCCCACGTTAAAGCTAAAACCTGTTTGAGTGTGTAAATTTGGTCTGTTGGTTTTTCTGTTGTGAAAGGAACAGAATCTAGCAGATTTTCCATCAACTCTTTAACGTAAGCCTAAAAAGACACAAAGATAATTATTGGTGGAAATAGTCAGTACCGTACTATTACTTTCAGTAGGTTTCTTATATTGTCGGCATTTGTTCTCTTCAACAGGTAACTAAATCCGTTGAAAACCGAAGACCAACTGTAATAGGAAGTATCCCTTTTCATAAATGACAAAAACTTCAAAACATCTGTGTATTCTGCCTTGCCTGCTCTGGCAAAATTTAGTTGGTCGTCGACCAGTTGAGATCTACTGATCTCGTCTATTTTATCGAGGTTATCAGAGTCTAGAACAGTTTGAATTTTTGACAGAAGTGTCTTGTCGTAGTTAACTCTATAGTAGCCAACTTGTTGGTTGTTCAAGATAATCCAGTCGTCTTCCTTGTCGAGAGTTATGGTTACATCTGCAGTTGGCGTTAACCACTTTTTTGTAGTTGTTTCTGTAAATTTAGATGGGTCCGTAGATGTGGTGTAAGTAATGGGGACGTACCATTTGGTGTCGTCGGTATCGTCATCAGACAACAAAAATCGTTTCTGGAGGTTAGATCTGTAGATAATTTTTTTGCCTTATCTTGTACTTACTTGACTAATGGTTAAGTCAGCTCCGTTTTGCGTAAGCGACAGTAAGGGATATCCTGGTTTATATGTCCAATTTTCCATAACCTTTTTCACAGTCTCTGGCACATCCTCTGGTTTAAACTCTATGAAGGAGTCCCACAAGCTTTCTGGGGTAGCCATATTCACACCGCTAGAAAAAATATATTTTTGTGTGCGTTTTAATAAAATGGAGAAAAATGTTACTTGTTGTTAAGATATGTAGAAAGTCCTTGCTTAAAGTTTTCGATTCCAAGAAAGCTTTGCAACATTTTTATAACACTACCACCTTTATTGTAGGAAATATCACCAAATCTTTCCTTGATCTCCTCAGGATCAGTCGTCTCGTAGGACAAAGGTTTTGAGTCACCACTAGAATCAGTTACTAGTACAGGCTGAACTTCTGCAATAACGAATTGTTTCGCCAACTCCCAGTCTGTTTGAATCTGTAAAAATATTGTTTACGCAAAGTGGAAACAGTCATTGGTTGTCTTACTTCAGCAGCAGCGTGATATTCAAAATAAGTAGCGAAACCTTCATTCAGAAAAGCATTAGACCACCAATTTAGGGTGACATAATCTCCAAACCACTGATGCGACACCTCGTGAGTTATATCACCATAAATAATTTGTTTGTCATAGTTTGACGATTGGTTTTCGTCCCATAGAAGATCCGATTCTCTGCAATTGTAGCTTGTAAAACATGAAAGTTAGTATTAGGTGAGTACCTGTAAGTAATCATTCCCCAATTTTCCATAGCACCGATTGCAAAATCTGGAATTGCGGCTTGCGTCATTTTCTTATTTCCCAAACTTGCGTATCCAAAACGCGTAAAACCTTGCATTGTGTCAAGAGCTGCAGGAGCTGCTTCAAGCGCAACCGAAAATGTTCCCTCTGTTCCCGGTCTCCCACAAACTTCAGTTGGTGTACCATCCGCAGCATTCTTACCACTTACGCACTTAAATTCTGAGACGATGAATGCGATCAAATAGGTCGACATTTTAGGTGTAGTTTCAAAGGTCACTTTGACAAGACCATTTCTGAAGAAAGAAAATAACCGTCATCTTCTCCAAACTATAACGTCGACTTACCCTACGTCACTTGGGTCTGCTTTTGGCTGGGTATTGGATAATGCTATACTTGTGCTTGGATAGGTGATGGTGATGTCGAATGTTGCTTTAAAACTCGGTTCGTCGAAGCATGGAAACGCTCTTCTCGCCCCCATCTCTTCGAACTGAGTTGTTGCTAAATATTTCGTCTTTCCATCGTCGTCTGTGTACCTACTTCTGTAAAATCCATCCATATCTGTATCACTAAGTTTCCCCGTATACTGTATCTCCAAAATGTAACTATCTCCAGATGTTATTTTTTGATTGCTTTTTATTGTAACAATATCGTCAGTGTCCGGTCCCTCTGTCGTGATCACTCCACTGAACCCCGATTTCGTCAAAGTTACCGTACTAAATGTGAGGTCTTTAGCGTGAATTTGAAAAGAGTCGGTGTCTTTGCCAACAGTCAGCGTCATTTGCACGTTTCCACTAAACTCCGCTTTATTTTCTAAATCATCTTTAGTTACTGTCAAATCTAACGCATAGTGCGTAGGTTGGACTAAATTTGCGTCGAGCCGATTTGCAGAAGCTCTTGGAGTCACTGGTTTTTTCAACTGAATGCCAGAATATTTCTTAGGCATCGCGTCGCTGCTGATCACTAGCGCGAGAACACACAGTAGTCGCCACATTTTTTTTTAATTGTAGACCACCTGCACCCTTCACCACTTTGGTTGATCATCGGGATAAACTGATATTTATACTTTCTTTTTATCTTATCGTTCTTTTGTGATTCATTCGGTTTTGTTTGATGAACTGCGGTAAGTCTTTTATCAAATGTCAATGTAGAGTTTTCTAGGACAACATAACACATGTTTTCAATTTGTAGTTTTGTTATCGTTGACTATGACTGGAATTTTTTGTGGACGCAGTCTCTACGAAACTATTGTGATTGTAGATTAATGGGTGGTGTAATAATATTCGGAGAATTACGATAATCGTCAGGATTAATGAGTAATGTGGAAAGTGCAAGCTGATGCTGCTTAACTTAATTCGATTTAATCAAAGTTATCAGATCAAAATTTTGTTTGAGCTATGCCTATCAGATTTAAAACTGCGTTGATTGATGGGTTTGACATGTAATCATAGCAGCTAATCTAGTGTAATTTTTTAATACCAAAATGGAAACAAAAATCCTTTTAAGACCATTGTTTATTTCAAAGAAAATTACTCATTTGTGTAACATTTGTAGGTATATCCTGTTTTATTGTAATAATAATAAGTAGGCAAATCGATTTTAACTATTTCGTAAATTTGCATACAATTTTTTACAACTTTCTTTTAATTTTTTACTGAACTACCACTGTGTTAGGAGTTTGTCTAGATGAAATACTTCGATGGTTAGTTATGTCCACGTAGAACAAGTACATCTTGTTCATTTACAAAATTTTGTTCCAACATTAATAATCCATAAAATGTATACGTTGTGCTCCAATAATTTTGTGACAATTTTAGTACTTTTTGAGAATGAAGTACTTAGCTTTATCTTGTTTGTTAATGAAAATTACTTATGTTCTTGATAAAGGCTTAATTTTTCCTCTGCGATCCCTTGTCGTACGACAAATTGTGTAGCGATGAATTGTAAGTGCCATCGGATGTCGTTTCGACCAGTAGTTGTTGTTGACACTGCGGTAATTGTTTGCAATCAATTGTCACGCGACGAATTGTCCACGATGAATTGAGGTGATGCCTGATGTAATACACTTGTATTATCCGTTCACGATCTTTATATAGTAGGGCCATGAAAATCTAGTGAGTTTGTTGGTATTCGGTGCAGAAAAATAAACATTCCCTGACCTTTTTTGTTAGGTCCTGTTTTATTAAATTAAAGGTTAAAAAATATACCAGAAATATAAACATTGTTGCCGATACTTTCAGTTTTCAGTAGCAATGACCAAGTTAACGGTATCCATTTCTTAGAAAACATAAAACTTTACGCTACTTAAAACAGTTATTCGGCTTTTTGTAAGTGTTTATTTCATATGTAAGGAACAAACATTAAAATTTCACTTAAACATTGTTTTCATATGAATGGGGGTTCAACATACGACTATTGTCGCATGCCACATTTAGAATCTCATCTTTAATTCTCAATCATCAGTTCGTTCTGCTCGCCCACTCTTTTTAGAAATGGAAATTTCGACCTATGTGAACAGCCTATTTCCATATCTTCCAAATTCTTTTTTCACTTTTATAAGATTACTAAAAGGGTTGGTAAAAGACAACAACCTTGCTCTAGTGCTTTGATGGGTTTAGCTCTTCTGAAACATTTTTTCGGCCTTAAATTGAATGATTTATCAATATAGCTATTACTAATGCTTACGTAAGTGCTCTTTATTTGCTTTTACTAAGTACTTCCAAACGCTTATTAAGAAGAACGTTACTATACACCTTCTTCAGGTCCATGAAGAGGTAGTTTTTCACCCTCCGACAAGCTACAGTTCACTCTATTTTCATTATTTCGCTATGAAAATGTGTATCATCACCGTTGTGTACAATGATAACGGTATAGTTGAAATTTTGAAAGTTTGATTGGAAGCGCCACTTAAGTAGGTACCTAGGAAAACAACGTTTGTTTAATATTAATATTTGAAAATTAATCGTGAGAACGAACAATTTGACAAATATCCATCCGTATCAATTTGAGTCTGTTCTGTAATCAAATCAGCGACTGTGGATATCAAAGAAGTGAGAGTGGACTCAGTTTGATTAGTCAACAATGAATTTTTACTTCATAATTTCACCTACCGTTTTTCAAAGTCTTGGTAGTTGCTGTTTATAAATTCCAATGTATCGTGAACCCTTTACTATTTTTAGTTATTACCAAATCCAACACACAGTTCGTAGGTACGACTAACTCTGGGTCGAGCCGATTGCCAATCGTGTCTTTTGGACTAACTGCTTTTTTCAACTGAATCCCAGCGTATTTCTTAGTCATAGCTTCGGTGCTGCTTTTTTTTTAAATCGAAGACCACCTATACTCTTCACCATTGTGATTCTTATAGTTCTTTATGGTTTAAATGCTCTTCTGTTTGACGTGCCTTAAGTCTTTTATCAAAGTAAAAAAATCCCCAAGAGATTTTCTTAAATTCGTTCAAAGTCGATACCAAATTTCCATTTTGGATAAAATGATCTCAGAGAATTACGATTGTTGTCAGAACTTATACGTGAAGTGGAAAGTGGAAGCTGATGCTGCTTAACACGGTCCAGTTTAACTTTCTTTGTCAGTTCAAAGTTTTTTTTTTTTGAACTAGGCATGTCAGATATTTTCATCACACTCAAAACTTGGATCGACTAGTGAAGCTGGCTATGTTATCACACCGGTTAATCCAGCGTAGATTGTTTAATATCAATACGGAAAAGCATCCTTTTAAATCACAATATTTATTGAAAAAGGATTAGTACTTTGTTTGACTTTTGCATTTCTCGTTTGTATTGTCTTATCATGAAATTATTTTTTTTGTATTTTTATTGATTGATTGGTTAATTAAGAAAGTATTGTTTGAAATACAATTTTTCTTTAATACTACAAGCATATAGTGAAATATAATACTAATAAACAACCAATTATTATTCTAATTAACAATAAAATTAACAATAGTAAATGTGATAAGGAAACAGAAAGTATAAAGACGGGTACATAAAAAAATCTTACTTAAATGTAGCAATTTATTTTTTATCTTAGCAGAAGTGAAATTATCATAAAATATTTATATCAATTGTGAGCTGTGATACAATCAATTAATCTATGGCACTTAATGTGAGGACTGATAAAGTTATGGAACGTTTGAGAGCAACTATTGCTACGATAAAATTAAGTTCATTAAGTAAGGATGGACATAAAACTTTGCCTTGTATAAGTTTTTGAATGAAGTTTCAACTGACAGTGACGCGGAGGGTAGCATTCATAGAATTTAAAGTAAACAAATTTAGAAAATCTACGTAAAACAGATTCCGTCTCCAAATTACCCAACAATATTCTAGTTTAGACCTTACAAGGGTATTAAATAAAAGTTTAATGCATGCGATATCATTAAATTTTGATGTATTTCTAATTATTATAAGTCCTAGAGTCCTAAATGCACTATTTACAATATGTTGAATATGCGAGCTGAAAGACAAAGTTGATTTGATTCACATCGTTGTAATAGTATGCGTGTAAAGGACATTACATAATTTATTATTACTACACCATATAACCCTTTTTTCAATGCTAGTCTGTAACTCTAAACAGTGGTTATAAGATTTTACTATTTTTACCAGTTTTAAATCATCTGTACCTATATAACAAACAGAATCAATATAGCTTACCACATCATTAAAATATATATTAAAAAGAAGAGGGACTAAGTTAGAACCTTGAGCTACTCCACTGGTTACATCGAAATAATCAGATTGAAAAAAATAATTCATTTGAACCCACTGTATCTTTTAACCACGTTTCTGTTCATCATCCGATGAGCACACATTAATATAAAATCTGTTATTTTCGAATTCAATTCTCTCACATTTTGGTAAAAAAAAATAAGTGTAGATGTGAATTTTCTTGATTATAAGTATTTATAGCCTGTTGGATATTTAATTGTTTTTTTTCTCACTATTCTAGGACTACCATTGATGTATCTTATTTTGATGTCCTGCTCACCATTTCCAACTCGTATCTTAAATTCCTTCCTAACAGTATACGCCTGATTTTCTGCTTCTTCGTTATGTGACGGCTAATATATACATTATTTTGAGGTTTATAATTGGCAACAATAATAAATTATTAGGATATTTTTCGTTCTGAATGATAATTTTGATTAAAAAAGTTTGTTGGATTTTTTGGAAATTCCACTGAATGTATTTTGTTTGTTACATTATTATTACATAAAAGAGTGAAATTGGTCATATTCTAACTGAGGTGCAAATTTTGCAGTACATATGATTTATTGATATGTGTTTTTATATAAAGGATTATTGTAATTTGCGAGTGTTCAGTGACAGAGGTCAAATGTGTGTTTTTTAGCACAATAATTGTGGTTTTAACATTTATACTACTTTATTTAGGAATCACAAAATAAATAATTTTAGTCGTATCTACAATACTTTTGAAGTTACTATGTCAGTTAAAAGAAATTGAAAAACAGGTATACGACCCCAATGAGAGCAAGATTTACCAAGTGGTAGGTATTTATCGAGGCACCACTGGTTGGGCCAAAGTAATCTTTAAGTTTTCCTTCCAAAGTGCTGATTTCGTTCAAGTTTGTTGTAGCCGATGCTACTGCTGTCTTAACAGCCTCTTTAATACTGGCATTTAACTCATCCGTTTTTAAGAACTCGTTCAACTAAAAATTACAGATTAATAGTGGGAACGAACTAAACTAAAACTCAACCGTATCAATTTGTTCCTGATTTGTAATCCAATCACCAACTTCGGATATCAAAGTAGTGAGAGTGGACTGAGTTCCAAAGCTGAAATTTGTTTAGTGTAAAATAAATTTTGACTGTATAGTTCCACCTACTGTTTTTCGAAGTCTTGATAGTTGTTTTGTATAAAGTGCAACATATCATTAACACCTTCCTTCTCGTTATTACAATACACAGATTTGAACACAAAATCCACATTTTGGATTCGCACTTTGTCAGTCAGTGCTACTTTCAAGTACCTGTAATTGCGTATTAGTTTTGAGAAAATTGAAAAGAAACGACCAACTTACTCTTGTCTGATAGTGGAATTGTTGACACATCCTAGAGCTTCGAGTATTGTCACTTGTTCGGTAGCTAGATCGGTTGAGAGATATTTATTATAAAGAAAATCGTAATCGTTTGTAGAGTTTTTGCTGTTTTTCAAACCGGTACAATAGACAATACTTTTCAAGTTTCGACTCGGTCTAAAAAGTGCAAACGTTTATGAACTATTTTGACTGTTAATTATAATAATTACATTTTATCGTCCGTCGTGTAGCTAGTAAATGCTGCAGTAGCATTGTTAACACAGTTTTCTTCCCCCAGGTTACAAGCCCACTTTAAAGCTAAAACCTGTTTGAGCGTGTAAATTTGGTCGGTTGGTTTTTCCGTTGTGAAAGGAACGGAAACTAGCAAACTTTCCATCAAGTCCTTAACGTATTTCTAAAAAGACACAAGAATGATTATTGGTGGGAATAGTCAGTACCATAATATTACTTTTAACGGAGTCCTTATTTTATCGTCATTGGTTCTCTTTAACAGATAACTGAATCCTTCGAAAGCAGAATACCAAGTATAATATGAATTATCATTTTTCATAAATTCCAAAAATTTCAAAACATCTGCGTATTCTGCCTTGCCTGCTCTGACAAAATTTAGTTGGTCATCGACCAGTTGAGATCGACTGATTTCGTCTATTTTGCCTTGGCCATCAGAGTTTAGAGCATCTTTAATTTTTGCCAGAAGTGTCTTGTCGTAGTTAACTCTGTAGTAGCCAACTTGTTGGTTGTTCAAGATAATCCAGTTATCCTTCTTGTCGAGAACTATGGTCACATTTGTATCTGGTGTTAACCACTGTTTTGTAGTTGTTTCTGTAAATTTAGATGGGTCCGCAGATGTGGTGTAGGTAATGGGGACGTACCATTTGGTGTAGTCGCTATCGTCATCAGACAACAAAAATCGTTGCTGAAAGTTAGAATTGTTGATAATTTTTTACTTTACCTTATGTACTTACTTGAGTAACGGTTATGTTAGCTTCGTTTTGTGTAAGCGAGAGTAGGGGATATCCTGCTTTTTTTGTCCAGTTGTCCATGACTACCGTCAATTTGTCGGGCACATCCTTTGGTTTAAAGTCTTCGAAAGAGCTCCACAGTTCATCAGGGGTGGCCACATTTTGAGCGCTAGAAAAAATCTATTTTTGTATGCGTGTTGCTACAAGGGAGTGAAAGTTTACTGGTCGGTGAGGTATTTATTAAGTCCTTTCTTAAAATTCTTGAGCCCAAGAAAGCTTTGCAACATTTTTAAGACTGCACTACCTTTGCTGTAAGAAACATCATTATATCTGCTCTCGATTTCACCAAGATCACTCGTGTTGTAAGACAAGGCTTCTGAATCCTTACGAGAATCAGTTACCAGTATGGTTTGAACTTGTTCAAGAACGAATTGTTTCTCCAATTGCCAGTCTTTGTGAACCTGTAAAACATTGTTTATGCAATGTTGACACCACGGGTGGTTGCCTCACTTGAGCAGCAGAGTGATATTCAAAGTAAGTAGCGAAACCCTCTTTTAGGAAAAGATCGGACCACGAATCTATAGTGACGTAATCTCCAAACCACTGATGGGCCAGTTCATGAGCGACTGCGGTATAGACAACTTCTTGATAATAGTTTGACGACTGGTCTTTGTCCCATATAAGATCCGTTTCTCTGTAATTACAACTTTTAGAGGAAGAAAGTTAGATTTCGGCGAGGACCTGTAAGTCGCCAATCCCCAGTTTTCCATAGCACCGGTTGCAAAGTCTGGAATAGCAGCTTGCGTCATTTTTTTATTCCCCAAAGCTCCGTATGCAATATTCGTGAAAGTCTTCATCGTGTTAAGAGCTTCGATACCTGCTTTAAGAGCATTCGACAATGTTTCCTTTGTTCCCGGTCTTCCGCAAACTGATGTTGGTGTTCCATCGTCAGCCTTCTTTATGTCTGTGCACTCAAATTCTGAGACGATGAATGCGATCAAATAGGTCGACATTTTAGGTGTAGTTTTAAAGGCCACTGTGACAAGACCATTTCTAAAGAAACAAAATAACAGTCATCTTTTCCAAACTATAACGTCGACTTACTCTGCGTCAGATCGTGTTTTTTTTGGCTCGGTATTGGATAATGCCGTACTTGTGTCTGGATAGGTGATGGTGATGTCGAATGTTGCTTTAAAACTTGGTTCGTCGAAGCATGGAAACGCTCTTCTCGCTCCCGTCTGTTCGAACTGAGTGGTTGCTAAATATTTTGTATTTCCATCGGCATCTTTGTAGCTACTTCTGTAAAATCCATCCATATCTGTATCGCTGAGCACTCCGGTGTAATCTATTTTCAAAATGTAATTATCTCCTTTTGTTATGTTTTTACTGCCTGTAATTGTAACAAAATCGTTGGCGTCCGCGTCCTCTGCCGTCACAGTTCCCGCATAATTATTTCCTGTCAAAGTTACGGTACTAATGTTGAGGGCTTTTGCATGAATTACAAAAGAGTCGGTGTCTTTGAGAACATTCAGCGTTATTGTTACGGCTCCACTAAACTCTCCTTTGTCTAAATTATCTTTAGTCACTTTCAACTCCAGTGCATAGTTCCTAGGTTTGACTAAAGTTTTGCTGAGCCGATTGTCAGTGGAAGCTCTTGGACTCACTGGTTTTTGCAACGGAATCCCAGCATATTTCTTTGGCCTAGCCTCGCTGCTGATCACTAGCGCGAGAATACACAATAGTCGCCACATGTTTTTTTAAATTAGAGCCAATTCACTACTGAGATTGAACATCGATGTGAAGTGATATTTATACTCTTCTTGTTATCTTAGCCTTCCTTTGATATTGAATTGTTGTGTGTTTGACGTATCACTTTAAAACTCAATATTTTTGCTGAAACGCTGAAACATTTTGTCCAATTTCTACGAATTGTGTTTTTCGATACACGTGTGGTACAACACAACTAAAGATTGTCCACGAAAAAAATTGGCCATTCAAAGAAAATTATAAAATATTTATTTATGAAACTTTCAACTTAACGTTATAACGTAAGGATAATCTTAAGATAAAATCTATAACATATTGTAACTAATTTGATTCAAACTAGTTCATAACAAAAATCTTGATCTTTGTTTCCTATACTTGTGCATACTTTAAATGAAGGTTATTTGATAATTTGCTGCATTTTTTTCAAAACCAGTAATGCTCTTAACTCTATCTTTTGTTTTTCTTAGTTCCTGCTTTACATAAGACCAATATTTTTCAATGGGTCTTAACTTGGGTCAGTTAGGTGGATTACTGCTTTTGACAACAAAAGAGATTCCCTCGCTCCACAACTCGCTTTGCTTAGTGTGCTGTGGCTAGATCGGGCCAGAAAAGTGTGGGAACATGATGATCTTTTAGAAGTGGCAATAGCCTTTTTTTCAAGCATTCCTCCAAATAAATTTCTTTTGGCCACATCTTTCACAGAGTCATTGGGATTTCGCATGAAGGACCTTAACACATTTTTTTCTATGATTTTACATGCAGCACTAGATTTTCTGCCTAAACCTGGTTTGCGACTAATAGTTAAGCGTTGAGTGAAGTTATTCAAAACATTTGCCACCGTCGACTTTGAAATTTCCAAGGATTTTGCAATCTGTTCTAAAAGACATTTCTGGGTTCTCATTCCTCTTCCACAGAATTTTTTGACGAAGCAAATAATGTTTCGAATCCATTTTCTCAAACAAAAATAATACACAATAGTGGTTATGGTTTTAGAAACTGTCAATAACAAGGTGTCATTTAAGCAAATCCTACTATGTTTTTTCGTGGACAGTCTGTATGAGGAGAATTCATGAATGACGGGAAAAATGGCAGTGGATGTTGCTTAACGTGGTCTAATTATTTCTATCATATGGAAATTTTAGAAGTGGCTTCTTAAAACATACATTGTTTCTTATAATTCACTCGTCAAATGTAAAAATTTCAAGTGCAATTCCCGTTTTAAAATGTTCTTTTTTTATCACTAGTGAAAAAACGTGGCATTTATCACATCCCTTCAGTTGACTAAAGCAAAGGGTAGAACTTTCTTTATTACTAATACTAAGATTAAAATTTTTAAATGTAGCACCACTTATGTAAGATGATACGGCACAGGATGGTCCAGGTTCATTATAATGATGTTTCCGTATAAATATTTTTAAAGCTCCAAGTGTTTCATAGATATTTTCGTTTTATTTTCATAAACATAACTTTCAGAGAGACTAGTGTATTTCTGTCCACCATATATTTTCAGTGTTAATAAGTCTGAATCAGCGTTTGCCAATAACGATGCGAACGTTCTTTGGAAACTGTGACCTGTATACTGCAATTTACTTTACAGTTTCGGGCCCTTTTTTCGTATTTAATTCTTTTAACAGTTTGTAAAGACGAAATTAAATTATGACGAAATACTTAATACTCAGAATCATGGTTAGTTATAAAAGTAAGGAGTAGTACTAGCAAAATCAGTCTTACAAGTACTATCCCGCCCACCCGACTTCTATTTTTCTTAAGGAGTATATCATTTGCCAAGATCAGTTGTACTGTAGGAAGTATTAGCCCCGCCCACCCGTCCTTTATTTTCTTAGAGAGCTAGCACCTTCTAAGATATCGCCAAATGACCTACTCTCTAAGAAAATGAAGGGTAGAGGGTATATAATTTGACAAAATCAGTTTTACCTTGGCAAGTATTGAAACCCCGCCCACCCACCCTTTATTTTCTTCGAAGGTATGCCTTTTGGCAATATCACTTTTCAACCATTTTCGAAAATTAGCTAGACATTTTCTTGTAGATTTCGACATCCAGAAGTCATTTTAGGCTTCGTTTCTACGAAAATTTCTATCGGTTTTCCAAAATCGTCAATTGAAATGTAGCAATTTTTACAGTTCCAGTAGAAAATAGCATAACAAAAAATTTACAGTTAGCGCTTTTTTTATTTTTTTCACATCCGAGATTCTATTAGTTTCCACTCCCACTCCATAAAAGAACATAATTAGCCCCGCCCACCAACCCGGCCTTCATTTCAGTGATTAATTTTATCCGGTTTGAATGAAATGAATGATCTTATAATAAAATAGAAATAAAATTAGTCTTTAGAATGAGAAAATTGGGGGTGGGCGGGGCTAGTACTTGCTAAGTTAAACTGATTTTGACAAATGACATACTTTCCAAGAAAATAGAGGGCGGGTGGGCGGGGCTAGTACTTGATAAGATAAGACTGTTTTTGGCAAATGACACATCTTCCAAGAAGGTAGAGGGCGGGTGGGCGGGGCTAGCATTTTAGAAGATATGACTGATTTTGGCAGTTTTAACATTTTTGATCATTTTTCAACCATTTTCGAAAACTAGCTAGACATTTTCTTGTAGCTTTCGACATCTAGAAGTCATTTTAGGTTTCGTTTATTCGAAAATTTCTACCGTAGAAATAAAATTAGTCTTTGGAATGAGAAGATTGGGGGTGGGCGGGGCTAGTACCTGGTAAGATAAAACTGTTTTTGGCAAATGACATATCCTCCAAGGAAATAGAGGGCTGCTGGGCGGGGTTAGCACTATAAGATATGACTGATTTTGACACGTTTGACATTTTTGACCATTTTTCAACCATTTTCATTGATAAAATTCTTCATTTCATACCTTCCTAAACTTAAAAATTTCGTATGTTATAATGGATATATATCTGACTTTTATGTGGCGACTTCCGGGATCCCTCAGGGCGCAATATTAGGACCTCTATTGTTTGAATTGTATGTCAATAATGTTATAAAAATATCTCGTAGAATTTCAGATATGAATGACTGCTTTTTATTGCAAGAAGATATACATAATTTTTATAATTGGTGTGGACGCAATAATTGCTTACTGCTGAATACAGATAAGGGCGATGTTGTATCATATGGTCGCTTTGTGAAAGTGGTCAATTATGAATACGCAATAAGATGCTCAAAGATCTAGGTGTCCTCTACGACTCGCAGTTTACTTTTAACAGCCTTGTAGATTATCTGGTTGCAATGACCACTAGAATGTTAGGTTTCATCCTAAGAAACTGTCAAGGCTTCTGCGAGTTTAATTTATATATTTATTTATATTTGGTTGGTTGTCTTTTAAGTGGAATTCTGTTCTCTTAGACAATAAATACATTATTATTTAGAGTACTTAGATTCCGTTACCGAATCGTAGGATTTCAGGTCGTTGTGACATCGTTGTTAAAACAAATAAAAAAATTCGGAAAACGAGTAAAATTATAAATTTAAATCTTAATCTTTGACGATTTGTAGTATGGTGTATTGATATGTCAATTGTTCAAAACTTTTTGTAAAATATATGCTCACGCAAAAATCTTCTAAAGGCTAAGTAAGACTGACTAAGCTGCAAGTTTTACCTTTTTTCTAGAAAGGATTATTGTAATTTGCGAGTGTCCAGTGTCAGAGCTCAAATGTGTGTTTTTCAGCACAATAATTGTGGTTTTAACATTTATACTACTTTATTTAAGAATCACAAAATAAATAATTGAAATAGTATCTACAACACTTTTGAAGTTACTATGTCAGTTAAAAGAAATTGAAAAACAGGTATACGACCCCAATGAGAGCAAGATTTACCAAGTGGTAGGTATTTATCGAGGCACCACTGGTTGGGGCAAAGTAATCTTTAAGTTTTCCTTCCAAAGTGCTGATTGTTTTCAAGTTTGTTGTAGCTGATTTAACTGCTTCATTACCAACTGCTACAACACTGTCATCTAAATCTCCCTTTTTTAAGAACTCGCTCAACTAAAAATTACAGATTAATAGTGGCAACGAACTTAACTAAAACCCACCGTATCAATTTGAGTCTGTTCTGTAATGAAATCAGCGACTGTGGATATTAAAGAAGCGAGAGTGGATTGAGTTCCAAAGCTGAAATTTGTTTGGTTAAAAAAGAAATTTTACTGCATAATTTCACCTACCGTGTTTCAAAATCTGTGTAGTTATTCTTTATAAACTTTAGCATATCATCAACACCTTCCTTCTCGTTATTAGAATACACAGATTGGAACACATATCGCACGTCTTGGATTCGGACTTTGTCAGTCAGTGCTAGCTTCAAGTACCTGTAATTGCGAATTAGATTTGAGAAAACTGAAAACAAACGACCAACTTACTCTTGTCTGAGAGTGGCGTCGTTGATACATCCTAGAGCTTTGAGTATTGTCACTTGTTCGGTAGCTAGGTCGGTTGAGAGATATTTATTATAAAGAAACTCGTAATCGCTTGTAGAGTTTTGGCTGTTTTTCAAACCGGTACAATAGACAATACTTTTCAAGTTTCGACTCGGTCTAAAAATTGCAAACGTTTATGAATTATTTTGACTGTTTTGAAATAATTACATTTTATCGTCTGTCGTGTAGCTAGTAAATGCTGCAGTAGCATTGTTAACACAGTTTTCTTCCCCCAGGTTACAAGCCCACGTTAATGCTAAAACCTGTTTGAGCGTGTAAATTTGTTCGGTTGAATTTTCCTTTGTGAAAGGAGCGGAATCTAGCAGACTTTCCATCAACTCCTTAAGATATTCCTAAAAAGACGCAAGAATCATTATTGGTGGGAATAGTCAGTACCATAATATTACTTTTAACGGAGTCCTTATTTTATCGTCACTGGTTCTCTTTAACAGATAACTAAATCCATTGAAAACAGGATACCAAGTATAATACGAATCATCTGTTTTCATAAACGCCAAAAATCTCAATACATCTGCGTATTCTGCCTTGCCTGCTCTGGCAAAATTTAGTTGGTCATCGACCAGTTGAGATCGACTGATTTCGTCTATTTTACCGAAGTTATCAGAGTTTAGAGCATCTTTAATTTTTGCCAGAAGTGTGTCGTCGTATTCTACTCTGTAGTAGCCAACTTGTTGGTTGTTCAAAATAATCCAGTTATCTTCCTTGTCGAGAGTTATGGTCAGATTTTCACCTGGTTTTAACCAGTCTATTGTGGCTGTTTTTGTAAATTTGGATGTGTCCGCAGATGTGGTATAAGTAATAGGAACGTACCACTCGGTGGCGTCGGTACCGTCGTCAGAGAAAAATCGTTGCTGAAATTTAGAATTGTAGATAATTTTTTGAGTTATCTTATACTTACTTGAATAACGGTTATATTAACTCCGTCTTGCGTAAGTGAGAGTACGGGATATCCTGCTTTTTTTGTCCAGTTGTCCATGACTACCGTCACATTGTCGGGCATATCCTCTGGTTTAAAGTCTTCGAAAGAGCTCCACAGTTGATCAGGGGTAGCCACATCTGTAGCGCTAGAAAAAATATATTTTTGTATGGGTGTTGTTAAGAGGAGGTAAATGTTTACTGGTCCTTGAGGTATTTATTAAGTCCGTTCTTAAAATTCTCGAGTCCAAGAAAGCTTTGCAACATTTTTAGAACAGTACCACCTTTGTTGTAAGAAATATCATCAAATCTGCTCTCGATTTCATCAGGATCACTCGTGTTGTAAGACAAGGGTTTTGAATTCTTACTAGAATCAGTTACCAGTACGGGTTGAACTTGTTCAAGAACGAATTGTTTCTCCAATTGCCATTTTGGTTGAACCTGTAAAAAATTGTTTACGCAATGTTGAGACCACCGGTGGTTGTCTCACCTGAGCAGCAGAGTGATATTCAAAGTACGTAGCGAAACCCTCATTCAGGAAAATATCAGACCACCAATCTAGAGTGACGTAATCTCCAAACCACTGATGGGCCAGTTCATGAGCGACCACAGTATAGACAACTTGTTGATATTGGTTTGACGACTGGTCTTGGTCCCATATAAGATCCGCTTCTCTGTAATTACAAGTTTTAGAGGAAGAAAGTAAGATTTCGGCGAGTACCTGTAAGTCACCAATCCCCAGTTTTCCATAGCACCGGCTGCAAAGTCTGGAATAGCAGCTTGCGTCATTTTTTTATTCCCCAAATCTCCGTATGCAATATTCGTGAAATTCTTCATCTTGTTAAGAGCTTCGGTACCTGCATTAAGAGCTTCGGACAATGTTTCCTTTGTTCCCGGTCTTCCGCAAACTGACGTTGGTGTACCATCCGCAGTATTCGTACCATTTATGCACTCAAATTCTGAGACGATGAATGCGATCAAATATGTGGACATTGGAGGTGTCGTATCAAAGGTCACTTTGAGAAGACCATCCCTAATGAAGGAAAATAAGAATTATCTTTTCCGAATTGTACCGTCTACTTACGCTGCCGAAGCTGGCTTTGCCTTTTGCTTGGTATTGGATAATGCTGTACTTGTGTTTGGATAGGTGATGGTGATGTCGAATGTTGCTTTAAAACTCGGTTCGTCGAAGCATGGAAACGCTCTTCTCGCTCCCATCTCTTCGAACTGAGTGGTTGCTAAATATTTTGTATTTCCATCGGCATCTGTGTAATTACTTCTGTAAAATCCATCCATATCTGTATCGCTGAGCACTCCGGTGTAATATATTTCCAAAATGTAATCAACTCCTTTTGTTATGTTTTTACTGCCTGTAATTGTAACAAAATCGTTGGCGTCCACGTCCTCTGCCGTCACAGTTCCCGCGTATTTATTTCCTGTCAAAGTCACGTTACTAATTTCGAGGGCTTTTGCATGAATTACAAAAGAGTTGGTGTCTTTGAGAACATTCAGCTTTATGTTTACGACTCCACTAAACTCTCCGTTCTCTAAATTATCTTTAGTCACTGTCAACTTCAGGTCATAGTTGGTAGGTTTGACTAAAGTGTCGTCGAGACGATTGTCAGTGGAAGCTCTTGGACTCACTGGTTTTTGCAACGGAATCCCAGCATATTTCTTTGGCCTAGCCTCGCTGCTGATCACTAGCGCGAGAATACACAATAGTCGCCACATGTTTTTTTAAATCAGAGCCACTTCACTACTGAGATTGAACATTGATGTGAAGTGATATTTATACTCTTCTTGTTATCTTATCCTTCGTTTGATATTGAATTGTTGTGTGTTTGACGTATCACTTTAAGAGTTTTATCAAATAAAACTCAATATTTTTGCTGAAACGCTAAAACATTTTGCCCAATTTCTACGAATTGTGTTTTTCGATACACAATTATAAGGGAAATTCATGATTGACGGGAAAATGGTAGCCGATGTTGCTTAACGTGGTCTAATTATTTTTATCCTACGGAAATTTTAGAAGTGGCTTTTTGAAACCTACTTTGTTTTTTATAATTCACTCGTCAAATGTGAAAATTTCAAGTGCAATTCCCGTTTTGAAATGTTCCTTTTTTTATCACTAGTGAAAAAACGTGGCATTTATCACATCCCTTCAGTTGACTGAACCAAAGAAAAGAACTTTGTGTATTATTAATAGTAAGACTAAAATTTTTAAATGTAGCACCACTAATAGAAGATGATACGGTACAGGTTGGTCCAGGTTTCATAGATATTTTCGTTTTAATTTCATAAACATAACTTTCAGGGACACTAGTGGATTTCTATCCACCATACCTTTTCAGTGCTAATAAGTCTGTTTCAGTGCCAATAACAATGCGAACGTTCTTCGAAAACAGTGACCGGTATACTGCAATTTACTTTGCAGTTTCGGGACCTTTTTTTCGTATTCAATTCTTTAACAGTTTGTAAAGATGAAATGAATTTATGACGAAATACTTAATACTCAGAATCATGGTTAGTTATAAAAGTAAGGGGGTAGAGTACTTGCAAGTACTAGCTACCGCCAACCCACCCCCTTATTATTTTTAAAATAATGTCTTTTGCCAAAATCAATCTTTACTTAACAAGTACTACCCCGCCCACCCACCCTCTATTTTTCTTAAAGAGTATATAATTTGCCAAAATCAGTTGTACTTTAGGAAATACTAGCCCCGCCCACCCGCCCTGTATTTTCTTAAAGTGTATATGATTTGCCAAAATCTGTCGTATCTTAACAAGTACTAGCCCCGCCCACCCGCCCTTTATTTTCTTAGAGGCTATACCATCTGCCAAAATCAGTCATATCTGTACCTCCTAAGATGAGGAGGTACTGTACTTCCTAAGATAAGACCGATTTTGGCAAATGATATACTCTCCAAGAAAAAAGAGGGTGGGTGGGCGGGGCTAGTACTTGCTAAGATACAAGACTGTTTGTCTTTAATAAACCACTAGAGGAACCCAAGATTATTTCAAACTCTTTCAAAATTATCAGGGGCTCCCAAAATCTTTTCAAACTGTTTCACAAAACACCAGAAGCCTTAAGTGATATTTATAGATTTTACTAATTAATAACAGAGTAGCACAAATATCAACCAAATTCAGAGAAATGAAAATGCAGTTTACAGAAAAATACTTCTCAAATTCTATAGAGTTTTAAATTAAAAAAACGTAAAAACCGTATATCCACTGTGGGAAAATAAACAAAAGGACTAAATTGACATTTTGGAGTGTTTGATATGACAACAATAACAAAGACTCCTATGTCAACTGCAACATGTCTATTTTTTATTTTTAGATCAGTCAGTATCAAACTTTGGAGAAGGAACATTAATGGTTCGAAATAGTACGTATTGAGAAAATGTCAAAGATAATCCCAACCAAAGAGATTATCTTTGCCAGATGTTGTAAACATTTTTCTATCTGTTGGATGTCATTTAATTGTTGTTTTTTGTTGTAGCAATGTGAAAAAATTTAATGAACAATTCCAAATAAAATTACAATAAATCTTTTTAGCAACTGAACTGACTATTTAGATAAATGGATTGTAGGATTAACTAGTTATTGCTTTCATAATATATTACAAAAACTAATTAATAGATAAGATATGATTATTATCTGGCTAAAAGCGTATATTTAATTCTCGGGAAACTCATGACACGTTGATGAAGTAATCTTTCAATTCTTCCTCGAGCAACTGCGTAAATTCTAAATTATTTTCCGCATTGGCAAGAGCATCTAGCGCAGAAAGTCTTATATCATCATCTAAATCCGGATCTTCGGAGAAGTCTCTTAGCTACAAAATCAAATTAGCACCATAAAAACACATAATCTGTTTACAAACCTTCTGTATTTGTTCTTCAGTCGTAAACCTGTTTGACACAACATAAATCAAATAGTTTAAATCATCGCTTCCTCCAAAACTAAAAAGATCAATATTAAATCGGTACTCGTACTAAAATCGTACTTACTAGCTCACAAACTGTAGGTAATTGGTAATTGCAAAATCAAAAGCTGCGTTAACACCTTCAGGACCGCTGGTATATACAGACGCATACACCGTATAAACGTCCTGTCGTCTTATTCCAGATCCTTCAGTGATAGTTTTTAGGAGATATCTAAAAAGCACCACCAAATTGTATCCTCAAAACTACTTAATTATTATTTTTACGTTTGTAATAAATCTGCGTCTGCTGTACAACCTAGAGCTTCCAAAATTATTTCTTGCTCGGTTTGAAGTTGCGACTCTGTATACTTTTGCCAAAGAAAATCAAAATCTAGGGAAGAATTGTCGCTATAACGCAACCCGTTGCAATAAATAAGGTCTTTCAAATTTCGGCTGGGTCTACAACCACAAGAATCAACAAACAACTCACTGTGTTGTAAAACTCATACTTGACAGCGTTGTCCCTGTAGCTAACAAAAGCTTCCTTAGAGTTGTCAGCACAGTCCGCATTTCCAAATGTACAAGCGTAGTACAAAGTCAAACTTTGTTTCAACGTATAAATTTGATCTTCAGGTTTTTCCACATCGAAAGGAGTCGAGGCGTATAATGAACCCATCAAACCAGAAACGTATCCTATGAATTCTTCTCGCAACTCTGCGTTTCCTACTCGTCTCAACAGATAACTAAAAACGTAGAAAGAAGAAACCCAAGGATAATATTCTGTTTCGTTTTCCAAAAACGAAAGTGCGTCTAAAACATTCGAATAATTGGTTCGACCAGCTTGGGCTAGATTGAAAAGATCATCCGCAATCTGAGCTCGATTGAGGACGTTGATACCAGAGAAGTCTGGCTGCGAAAGAGCTAGAGAAATTTTTTGGAGAAGCGACTCGTCGTAGTTTACTCGGTAGTACCCTGAACAAAATTAAACGAATACAAAGTCGTACGAAAAACGAGACAGTAGCAATTTGTTCGTTGTTTAGAACTATCCAGTTGGAACCTGATAAAACCCCAACTAAAGTTAAGTCTTGACCAGGAGTCAACCAAGCTCTTGTTGTCGTGTTGGTGGAATCTTCGCCCGATAAAGTATAGGTGATAGGTACGTACGAAGTTGTATCGGAAGTACCAGACAGGAGAAATGATTCCTATAATTGTGTTACAGTCACGAGTGAAGATATATTGTAGTCGTAGTTGGTACCTGGGAAATAGTTACGTCGTCACCACTGGCCGTCACAGTAAGCAAGGGGTACCCCGATTTGTAGGTCCAGTTAGACATGATTTCGACCATCGTAGCTGGTATTTCTGGGGTGTATGCTTCAAACGACTCCCATAAAATATCAGGTGTACCAACTAAATACATACTAAAACTTGCATGAATACGAGAAACCAATTGAAAATGCAACGTACTTCTTGGCGATATAGTCCGTAAGGCCTGCTTTAAAGGCATCAAGTCCTAGAAAGTATCGAACCATTCGCAGAATGCTTCCACCTGTAAACACTCGATGCAAGCTTTTCAAAAATTACATAGTACTACCTTTGTCGTAAGAAATGTCATCAAATCTATTATCAATTTCTGAGGGCGTTTGCACATCCGACGACAATGGTAACGACCATTCGTACGAGTCACTCTCCAAAGCCACTTGGAGTTGTTCTACAACGAACTGCTTTGACAGTTCCCAGTCCGGAACGTACTGAAATGAAAAACGTAGGTAGTACGGAATTGTTAAATGGAGTAGTACGTACTTTATCACTTGCATGATACTCAAAGTACGTAGCAAACCCCTCATTCAAAAAAACATCACTCCACCAATCCAGTGTGACCAAATCTCCGAACCACTGATGCGACAATTCGTGAGCAATTATTGTAACAACGTATTGTTGGTACTGATTTGACGATTCTTCTTCGTTCCAGAGAAGGTACGTTTCTCTACAACACAACTTCAGTTCTGCGTGACTCCTTCACATGGTACTACCTGTAGGTGACTAAACCCCAGTTTTCCATAGCTCCTGCAGCGTAATCAGGGATCGAAATTTGCGTAAGTTTACCAATGTGCGAAGACGTGTAGGAAATACCAGTGTAGCCTTCCATGATTCGGAGAATCTGAGGTGCCGTTTCAAGAGCGGTACCGCGCGTGTTTTCTGTTTCTGATCTTGAACATACTTCTGTGGGAGTACCATCAATGGGCTCGCCTTGTGTGCACGTGTAATCTGAGACCACGAAGGCCACCAAGTACGTTGACATTATAGGGGTTGTTTCAAAAGTGACTTTGGTGAGGTTTGTTCTAGAAGAGTATACATAGTACGACTCTAGATAGTACGTACACTTACCCAGGTACGTCTTCTTGGTTTAAAATGTTCGTGTTAGCTATGGCGTTCAAGTGTGCGGGAAAAGTGATGGAAATGTCGAACGTAGCCTTCAAAGCAGGTTCGTCAAAGCAAGGGAAAGCTTTTCTTGCATTTGTTGCTTCGAAATCTGTGGACGCTACGTAGTGTACGGTGTCACCTTCAGTGTACCAGCTTTTGTAAAATCCGTTCAAGTCAGTAGGGCTCAAAATTCCGGTGTATGTTAAGTGGAGTAAATAAGTTTCTCCTTGAGTCAATTCCGTCTCTACGTTTACTGTTACTGTATCAGTAAGTGAGTCGGTTTCGGTCGACGCAATATCCAAAGTACTATTCCCGCTTGACAATTCTATTAACCCTATTTCGATATTCTTGGCGTGAAATTTGAAAGAATCTGTTGTTGTAATTACAGAAATGTCGATGTCAACAACACCAGAGAATGAATTAGTTTCGAAAACGTCTTGTTCTAGTTGTAGATCTAGCTTGTAGTGGGTTGGTACCAGATCGGTGGGAAGGCGGTACTCAGCATCTAGACTTTTTTTAGAAAGACTTACATGCTTGCTTCGTTCGTGGAGAAGACGTTTTTTGAGTGGTGAAGGCGACCTGGCAGCAAAAATTGCCGGAACTATTAACAGTACTACCAATAAGTTCATTTTTAGGACAGTTCTAAGAAGACTAACGTGATTTGCGATTTTTTGCATTTTATACTCTTTTGCTCTTCTTAACTTTGCTCACATTTCTATCTAATCTGTATGTCTGGCTGATCGCATCTGCCGCAGCTATTGTTTAATGGTAAAAATAGAAAGATGTCTGTCAAATTTAAAAAGCCGAAGAGATTAATATTTAAGTGGTCATGTATACGATACGAAATTTAGATTATGTTGATTAAAACAGGTTGGTAAATATTCAAAATAACTTTTTTTCCAACTTTGCTCAAATTTGGTGTTGGTTAAGCCAGAAATTGTTGATTTTTATATTGATTATTATCGCACCTTGAATTGTCCGTGATTGAAAGGTTATTGCACAATAAAAATCTCAAATTGTTTTTCATACTTGAGTTTTCGCTTATAAGTGAGATAATAAGTATTATGTTGTTAATTAATAGAAGTTGAGATTATTTTATGATGTACTTGAGTAATGTCGAGGCAAGTTTTCGACATAGTTTCTTAGAAAATTGATACGTTAAATTTCTATTAATTTTTGTTGTAACAGGATGCTGTCCATTGAATTTTTTTTTTCTCAACAGCAATCAAAAATGTAGAAGGAAGAAACTCGACCTCTGTTTCGTTATGCAAGATGAAAGTACTTCAAAAATATCTTCTACCAGTTCGTACTAGATTGACAAGATCGTCAACAATCTACATTCTTTTGAGGACATTGATACCAAGAAAAGTTGGTTGTGCAAGCGGAAGCTGTTCGTGGTTTACGCGGTAGTACGCTGACCAAAAATAAACAATTACGAAGTCGTACTAAAGGGATACGAAGTATTCATTTATACATTGGTTAGTACTATCCAACGAGGAGTTTAAAAACTCCAACTAAAGTTAAGTCTTCATCAGGGCTAAATCAAGTCCTTTTGTAAGAAAAATCACATCACAGTGTGTGTTACAAAACACCAGTTTCAACAACATCAAAAATCTAGAAAAATCCTTATTTTTGGTACTTTCGTGCTAGTGGGGAAATACCTATATTCCTCGTTGGAGTGAGTGCCCACTCCTAGCCTTAAAATCGCGATAAACAAGTAAATTTTTCAATTGTATTAAAATATGAAAGTTTGTTATTTATATAGAGATAGAGATATAGAGACAATATTCGCAATTCAACAGAAATAAGAAGCAACATATTTTTGCCAAATTTATTTGGGATCATGGTGTTGCAGACTGGTACTTTAGATATGGAAATAACAACAAAGATAGTATAAACCTATAGACACTCCAGATAACAGGCTTTTAGACGTGATGATAAAAGCTAAAAATCGATATTAGACACAATTGCAAAATTTTTGCCGCAAGCTTATATAACATGTTTGTTTGGTATTTGCTTGCCGCTTTCTATAGTAATTAACTTGGAAATTTCATTGAAAGTAGTACTTTTATGGGTACTCCTATATTTATTTTTTGACTGTCCTTGACGCTCACCTTGTATAATGTTTATTTCACGCTTGGCGTTTTTCTCATTACATACTTATCACGACAAAAATGCTGATAATAAACTAATTAACAATCCCTGCTGACGTAGCGGTTGTTTCGCGATAAATTAAGTGGAAAAATAAAATATTATTTAGCTAATTTTTCTATTAGTTCACCGAAAATAAAACAGCAGCTACAACTACAAACAATAAATAGTTATTTTTAGTTTTTCTTGAAACGGTTGATCTATGTAACAGAGTTTTTCCTTTGACGAAAAAGTTAGACAGATCTTCTTCAAAAATTTCCGACAATAGCAGCTGTTTCTTTGCAATCGTAATTGAGCTTTGCACAGCATTCCCAATTTTTTCCGTTAAGGTACCATTTTGAATTAAGGAAAACATCTAGAATCACTTATTAGTTAGCTTGAGAAAACAAATCATATGACCTACTTTGTCGATTTGAGATTTTTCCATTATCTTTTTTCCTACTTTGTCGATTAACGATTTTATAATCTCTTCATCTCGGTAGCTAAAATACAATGTTGCAACACTGAGATGACGCATTTCGGTACTTACTAGTCATACATTCCTTGATAATTCTTTCCTAGAAAGTCTAAAATAATATCCACACCTTCTGCATTATTCGAAATAACAGATTCAAACAGCTGTACTGACTCGTACTTTTGTACCTCTGAGCACGGTTGAGTCGCAATTTTCAGAAAACTAGAACGGAAATTATTCATGGTTTCAACATAGAACTACCTACTTATTCAAAATCGTTGCCTTTGGAGTACAACCCAAAGCCACCAAAATCGTTTCTCTTTCATAGGCGGTACCGCTTTCTAGAAACTTGTTCCACAAAAAGTACGCATCTCGTTCCACGTAGTCACTAGATCGCAATGCGTTACAAAACACTGGCAATTTTAAATTGTTGGGAACGCTAAACCCATTTCCATTCTTGTAGTCCAGGAAAGCTTTCTCAGAAATTTCGCTACAGTTAGAATGGTTTATTCTGCAAGCCCATGTAACTACTAACACTTGTTTAAGATTGTAAATATGGTTGTCGTTGTTTTCTAATTTAAATGGCGCCGATTTGTAAACTTGTGTCATCATTTCGTCAATGTAGTGCTACAAAATATGGTAACTATATTGAATTGACTGCTTAGAAGTCGTACCGTCAATTTATCCCTAACAACACTACTTTTTATTCTTGGTAAAATGTCTGAGAAAGCGCTGAAAGCGGCATGCCATGGATAATAATCGGTGTCGTTTTTTAAAAATGACACCGAATGTAGTACTTTCGACAGAGGAATTTTCTCAGCTTTGGCGAGATTGAAAAGATCGTCTACAAGTTGAGCTCTGTTGATGGTGGGAACTGTAGTGTGGTTTTTTTCAAGTGTGGCAGCAAGGCGGTTCCATAAATCTTCGTCGTAGTTAACTCGGTAGTACCCTAAAAGCAATTTAAATGGAAAGAATATGACCTTTTGTCAGTACCTGTTTGCAAATTGTTGACAAGGATCCAGTCCGATTTACAAATAATAGCGTTTTCTATGGTCACGTTATCCGTGGTAGGATTTAACCAAATCCCAGAAATTGTAGTTCCGTTACTGGTAATGTACGTAATAGGTATGTACCATTGCGGACTTAAATAGTAACTATCAAAGAGCTGAAATGGTTCCTGAAAAAACAACATTAACAAAAATTACACTAGAATTAACATTACCTGTGTTATAGTAACTGTAGTTCCATTTAATTTGACATTTAGTAGAGGATACCCTGCTTGTTCTATCCAGTTGTTGACAATGTCGTAAACTCTGAAGCGAAGGTGTACGTGATTCTGAAGTTCTATCCAAAAGTCGTTCGCAGTTGCTGTGTTAAATTTACTAGAAAGTTGTTATAAAAGACATGTGTGTGGTACCGTTTTTCACTTACTCTGTCTCTAAATACTTTTGTAGAGAAAGCTGAAAGGGTTTCGATCCCACTGTGTGATTAATCATTCGAAGAATACTGGCTCCTGTAACAACATACTTAATTCAGATAAGTAAACCTTAGGTACTACCTTTGCTGTAAAACAGATCGTCAAACTTATCCAAAATTTCTTCTTGTTTTCGCACTTGAGTCAAAAGAGGTGGAGCAGTACCGTAAGAATCTTTCAACAAAGCAGTATGCATCTGGTCAACAACAAATTGTTTGTCAAGCTCCCACATACTCTCAACCTAAAAATTAATTTTAGTAACGTTTTTTCAAATTTAAAACGTTACCTCAGCGGTAGCGAAGTACTCAAAGTATCTACTCAACCCCTGATGGAAAAACGAATGCGACCACCAATTTTCAGTCACCAAATTCCCGAACCACATCTGCGAAAGTTTCGAAGCAACAGATCTGGCGACTTTTTGTTTATACCAAGTGGTACTATTGTCATCCCATAGCAGTGACGATTCTGCAAATGTTGGCATCCCCCAACTGGCGGCACCTTCACCAGGAATGGCAACCAAGTCAATTTTTTTAATCCCACTCATGTCATACGGTACTGCTGTAAAATTCTCAAAGTACTTCATCAGTTTGAGAGCTGTGTCTAAGGCATATTGTCTCGATTGTTGTAACTCGGGTTTCGAACACACCCTGTATAAGATACCGTCGGTGGTTTCGTCGCAAGTGAAGTCAGAGATGATGAAAGCAATCTCCATCGTTGATATTGGTGGAGTGGCTGGAAAATTCACTGCGACTAAATTGTCACTAAAACGAAATGATTTTGACGAGGAAAGTTACAATTTTAAGTATTTACTTCAGTTGTTGTATGACATAGTTTTGTAGAGTGTTTGACATGACACTGAAGCCTCTTGGTACTGCTAGGGATAAATTAAAAGTTGCTTTTTTCGAAGGTTCGTCGAAGCAAGGGAAAACTTGTCGTGCGTGAATGGGTACCATTGAAGTGAGAACAAACGTTCGAATGTCGCCTTCTTGATCCTTGTATGTGTTTTCGTACAACCCGTGCGAATTAGTACTAAAGGTACCGTTGTAAGCCATCACCAGAAGATACACACCTGGATGGAGGTTTTCTGTGGTGCTTAGAGTCAAAATATCGTTACACAGATTTAAAGTTTGGGTGAGGTTGGCAGTGATACTGACGTTGCGTAAGTACGCAGACAGGATAGTTTGGTTCTTTGAATGAATTTGGATGTTGTTAGTCGGTTCCCTAATTTTGATAGTTATGTTTACGTTTCCCTGGAATACGTTGGTTACGAAGGCATCTGCTTCTAATTTGATGTCTATGTGGTAATGTACGGGTAGTACTGTTGGAGGCAGGCGGTACAAAGTCTGTCCAGGACAAGCATGTGTAAGAAAGGTAACACAGAATAGTACCAGAATTTTTAGACACATTTTTTGGCGCGTCCATGGTACCATACTCGTATATACTGACGCAGTGGCAAGTACGTTTACCAAATTTTGAAATTTAAAACAGGTGATTATGTTAAAATATGTAACGACCAGTAAAAGTTAGTCATTTGTTTTTACCTTGGTAGCAAGGTTTATGACTCAGATTTTGGCATTCAGTTTAATTGTTATCAGATTAAAAAAAAATAAAAATAAAAAAAGTAGGTGACAGTGTGAATGTGGAAATTAGTTTATAAATAAGTACTGATGGAATTTTTCTATTAACGCAGTTTCGATAGATTACAATGGAACGAATTTATTGTATTAAAGTTCGTGGAAACGTTTGATGTCAGCTGATAAGATCTTATCGGTTAGTATATATTTGTGCACACCAAAGTGGGATTTAAAGGGACACAAGTGTTTGTGTAGAACATCAAACACTTGTGGCCTTTTGTGTAATATATTTAATGGTACTATGTTATGCAGGTACTATGTTTAAACTGTTATTCACCGTATAAGTAATAAATAAATGTAAGTTGTGTAAACAACTTTTTAACAGTTTCAAGTTCTTAACAGAAGTCTTACTGATTTCGGTATAGTAGTACCAAAGTCGGTACTAGCATCCGTTCAAGGTATTGAGAGGAATGGACTAATATCTCTAGGTTTGTTCATTATATAACAGTCTTAATTCTTGTGTAAATAAAATACAGGCAACAATAAAAAGTAACCCGGTTAATCACAGCTACCTGTCGTAAACAAAGTAAGCCGTAAAAACTAGAACATCATCCTAATAAATTTTATTGAATGGGAAAGATAAATTAATTACAACTATTGTTACAATCTAGATCCACATTTGATAAAACAGTACCAGAATGGTCATTATCACTGTGGTGAATCCAATTCGCACACAATCAGCGGTGCTCGTTCCAAGATTGAAGAACTCGGTCAGCTGTTGTTCAAACGCTGCAGTTTGTTTCAAATTAGCCTCAGCACTTGCCAAAGCTGCAGTAGCTGCCGCTAGTACAGTTTCAGGCAAATCGGCTTCAGGATTTGCAAGGAAGTCTTTCAGCTGGAAAGAGCATAAACAGAATTCGAGTTACGGTATTTCGATGATAAACAAACCTTTTGCACTTGCGCTTCTTTATTGAATCTTCCTGCTAAACCACTGAATAGATTGTTGAGGGCGTTCATTGAACCATAGCTGAAAGTACCAAATTAGCAAATATGCGTAAGGTTTACAGTACTCTTACTAGTTTGAGATATCACGCCAGTTTGTAATAAGAAAGTCGTAAGCTATGTCGACCCCTTTGGGATTTTGGGTGTATACAGTCGAAAAGACCGAGGAGGCGTCTTGTTGGCGAATTCCTGAATCGACAGTGATTGATTTGGTGAGGAAACTACAAAATGAAGTGTGAAACTGAAATAGAGATTACAATTTTGTACATACTTCTTTAGAACTTCTTCATCTGTGGCACACCCAAGAGCGGACAAAATGGTCGCTTGTTCGGTTGCTAGTTTGGCACTATTGTATTCGCCCCACAGGAATTCCCAGTCGGCTTGTATGTCAGTACTGTGCCGCAGACCATTGCAGTAAATTACAGACTTCAGATTTTTATCAGGTTTTCTATAAAACTAAAACATTAATGAACGAGATTGACACAGCTAGAAATCTCATTACACTTTCGTTGAGACGTAATTTCCAAAAGCAGCCACAGCTTTGTCTACACAGTCAGGTAGATTTAGCCTGCACGCCCAGGTTATTATTTGAACCCTATTGAAAGTGTAAATTTGATCATCGTCTTTCCGTTCGTCAAATGGTACGCTTTCGTACACTGTTTGCATCAGGTCCAGAATGTGGCTCTACAAAAGTACGACTTATCACAAAAATTATCACTGCTTGGGAGTAGTACCGAAAGCGCTTCTCGTATTCTGTCGTTTCCTGTTCTCGACAACATGTTCGAAAATGCCGTAAGTGCGGAATTCCATGTGTAGTACGAAGTTTCACCTTTCAAGAACTCGAAAAATTTAAACACTCTGTTGTACTTGTAGACGTCAATTTTTGCTAGATTGTAAATATCGTCGACCAAATGGGCTCGGTTAAGTTCGTGAATATCCTGGATGTTTTCGCTTTTGAGTACTGCTTCTATCCTACTTAGAAGATCGTCTTCGTATTGAACTCGGTAGTAACCTAAAATTGACGATGCGCTCACGAGTTCACTGTACTGTGGTACTTATAAATTGTAATTTTAAGCAGAGACAAACCTATTTGCTGATTATTTAGAATTATCCAATCAGATTCTTCTAGAACTGTTGCAATAGCTAGAGGTGTGTCTGGCAATAGCCACGCTCTCGCTGACATATTTTCGAATTTATTTTGATCGGAAGAAAGTGTATAAGCAATAGGGACGTACCAAACGTCTTCTGCAGCAGGAGTACCCGAAAGTACAAAGCGTTTCTAAAATAAAATCCCTCCTATCCAAGTACTTTTTAAAAAAGTTACCAACCTGTGTAACAATAATAGCACTACCATTGTTCTCCACTTGCAATAACGGAAATCCCGCTCTGTTAATCCAGCTGTCCATCACTTTCGATAAATTAGTACCTTCTGGTAGAATATTGGCAGGAATTGATGGTTCGATTCCGTTCCACAGATCTTCAGGAACGGTTGCATCAAATTGACTACAAGAATTAATCAACATTCCAACAAAATCGTAGTACTTACTTATCAGTTAAGTATCTGTTAAGTCCTTGATTGAAATTTGTTGTACCTATAACGTGTTGGAGCATTCGGAAAATACTTCCACCTAAAATCGACTATAGTTTTTTTCATTAAACAAACTTAATAAATGTACCTTTGTTGTAAGAGACCGAACCAAATCTTGAAGAAACCTGTGCTTGAGTATAAGCTTCTTGGGACAAGGCGGCAGCTGAAGGTGCAGCATCGTTTACCAACATTGGTTGAACCTGTGCAGTTACAAACTGCTTGTCAAGTTCCCAAGTTGTTTCCACCTAGAAAACCAAAATGAAACAAAAACTGTGGATGTTGGAGACAGTTACCTCGGATGTGGCGAAATATTGGTAAAGTCTGGCAAAACCTTCGTTCAAGAAAGTGTTAGACCACCACTTACAGGTGACCAAGTTACCGAACCACATGTGGGCGATTTCGTGAGAAATGACGTTCTGGATACTTTGTTTGTAAGAGTTTGACGATTCGGCTGGATCGTAGAGTAAACCAGTTTCTCTGCAATGAGAAGTTAGGCAAAAAACAGAAAGTTTGACGAGTACCTGTAGGTTAAAAGTCCCCAATTCTCCATAGCTCCTGCCGAAAAATCTGGAATAGCGACCTGGTGCATTTTTCCAATTCCAGAATCGAGATACTTAATGTCAGTGATTTCTTCCATTACCGTGATCAATTTGGGGCCAAAATCTACAGCGAGAGCACGCTCAGTTGCAGCTTCCCTTCTTGAACATACAGAATGTATCGTATTTCCTGAACTTGGAGTACAATCAAAATCAGAAACTATGAACGCAATCAAATACGTGGACATTTTAGGTGTGGTTTTGAAAGTAGTGATTACGAAATTATTATCGTCAACATCCGTTCCTTCCGTGTTTCCAAGTGCCAAGGGCAGCAGTTCCTTCGGGCGCCTAATTTTGATATCAAAAGTCGCTTTGTACTCCGGTTCGTCGAAGCAGGGGAAAGCCTTCCTGGCACTGGTTGGCTGAAACTGAGTAGTACCCAAAAACTTCTTCTGTCCATCAGTCCCGATGTAATAACTCTTATAAAACCCATACATTTCGCTGGTCCGCAGTTGTGCACTATACACAAAATTCAGCCTGTAATTTGCGTTTGCTTCCAGTTGTGTAGTCGACACCACAGTCAAAACGTCAGTGTCTTTATCGCTCAAGAAAGTTTCTTCTGTAAGTACCACATTCGTTTCAACTGGGTTTGCTTCGGTCCCTGTAATCCGGAAGAGCTTCGTTTCCGAAAAAGTGATCCCATTAGCGTGCAGTTTAATTTCGTTGGTGGCCTTTAAGTTCGTAAACCAAATTGATACGATTCCTCCGAACTCGTTTTCCTCGAAAAAGTTGTTTTCGATTCTGAGTTCGATGTCATACTTGGAGACTGTTACGGCACCTTCTGGTAAGCGGTAGTCTTGAAGTTCCGCTTTAGGTTCGATGGGCGTAGCACATGCATAGGCTATGAAAAATATTAACAGTTTTATCATTTTCGCATTCGCGGTTTCACTCTTTTGGGATGAAAACTGGCTAAATCCAACAGAGTAGTGGTTTTATTCTTCGTATTATCTTATCACCGACAGCGGTATTAGGTAATAAATTTATGGCTTTATTGAAGCTGTGATCCCTCTTTGGTATTGAGAGAAATGACTCGTTGAACTGTTTTTGTTCTAGTGGAAGGTTTAACTACGTAAATGGAGTTTTATCATGCTGAATATTTTGATTATCTTTGAAGCAAGGAGGAGGTCTTAGTACGTGTCCTTTTTAATGTTTACTAAACAGCGTAGTAAAAATAGCGGTTTATAGGGATCATACTCGTATCCCTAATGATTTAACACAGATTATATTTGACGTGAGTATTTTTTAATCAAAAATATCGAAAAAGTCTGCTCCTCATCGAACCTCTGGATCTAGATCAACGAAATTTTTTAATAATTGTAAATAAAAGTTTGATGCAAATGCGGCGATTGGAAACTAGTTACGAGTAAATAATTATGCTCATTAGTTTTTAATTTTAACTGATTACGCAAGTCCAGTGAGTACGATAAAAATGACGAATCATGTATTAAGGCACAAAATCCGGCTTAACGACACCTGTACTTAAGGTATTAACACTGGAAACATACGTAATAGTCGTCACGTAGCTACAAAACTTACGTTATTCAAAATATTTCCGATTTTTCTTGAAAATAAGACGAGTTTAACTCAAAAAAATGGATAGAATTTTATCCTTTAATCACATAATAGAGTATAATGTAAATTTGGAACATTTTAGAAAATTTGCGTTAAATATATTTCAGATCACTTGAATCGAATTCAAATTAAGTTAATACCTAACGAGTACTGAAGTGTAAAAATTGAAACACTAGGACACGTATGTGTTGTGTAAGAAAGAATTTTCTGACGAAATTCTGAGCAGTTATCCTGTGTTCAAAAATAACGTGGTGACGATATATCTGCGAATTTTCTGACGATTAGGTTGTTTGTTTATGAGGCAGAAATCAATAGGCTCATAAATTTCAAGTTTCAACATAACATCCGGATCATAAAACTATATAATCTTCGTAACATCCAAAATTGACTAAATTAAATATATTTGACTAGATTAAATATACCGGGTGACTTTATTGAAAATTATTGGCAACAATGCTACCAAGTCAGTTCACAGTTGTCTTGATGAGAAAATACAACTAGTAATTTGGTTGGCAAAATTTCAGTAATAAAATTTTACAAACGTTAATTCAGGTCGGTATTGGATAAAATTAAAAGTTCAATTAATGTTTATAAATTTTTTTATTTCATAACGTAAGTCGAAAACCTGCTTTACAAAATGACAGTTTTATTTTTATCATCCATTATTTTACACCTATAAATAAATTTGTGATGCATCGATTCTCTTGCGCAACTAAATATCTGATAAAAGTACTTAAAACAGTTATGTGTCTACGTATATAGAGCCAAAATAAATTACAAAAATGTGCAATAAATTAAAAACGTCCTTCTAAAATAAAAACTGGTAGCAAAGTACCAACAGAGTCGACACAACTGACGTCATTCCAATCGTCAGGGAAGCACTTCCATCAGGTGCATCCGTAGGAGCAGAAGTAGAACCAGGATCGGAAATATCATCAGAAGTGGAATCAGAAGGATCAGAAGTCGGATCAGAACTAGGATCAGCAGTAGGGTCAGAACTAGGATCAGCAGTAGGCTCAGAACTAGACTCAGTAGTAGAATCAGAACTAGAGTCAGTACTAGGATCAGAACTAGACTCAGTGGTAGAATCAGAACTAGAGTCAGTACTAGATTCTGAATCAAGCTTGAAAAACTCGGTCAGCTGTTTTTCAAACTCTGCAGTCTGTTCCAAATTAGCCTCAGCACTTGCCAAAGCTGTAGTAGCTGCCGTTAGTACAGTTTCAGGAAAATCGGTTTCAGGATTTGCAAGGAAGTCTCTCAGCTGGAAAGAGCATAAACTGAATTCGAGTTACAGTAATTCGATGATAAACAAACCTTTTGCACTTGCTCTTCTTTATTGAATCTTGCTGCCAAACCACTGAATAAATTATTGAGGGCATTCATTGAACCATAGCTGAAAGAACCAAATTAGTTAATCTGTGTAAGGTTTGCAATACCCTTACTAGTTTGAGATATCACGCCAGTTTGAAATAAGAAAGTCGTAGGCTATGTCAACTCCCTCGGGATTTTGCGTGTACACGGTCGAAAAGACGGAGGAGGCGTCTTGTTGGCGAATTCCTGAATCCTCAGTGATTGATTTCGTGAGGAATCTATAAAACAAAGTGTGGAATTGGAGTTGAGACTGCAACTTTGTTCACATACTCGTTTAGAACATCTGGATCTTTGGCACATCCAAGAGCGGACAAAATCGTTGCTTGTTCTGTTGCTAGTTTAGTAGTACTGTATTCGCTCCATAAGAAGTCCCAATCGGTCTTTATGTCAGTACTGTGGCGCAGACCATTGCAGTAAATTACAGACTTCAGATTTTTATCAGGTTTTCTATAAAACGAAAAAATTAATAAACAAGATTGACACGAATAGAAATCTCATTACTCTTTCGTTTCTACGTAAGTGTTAAAAGCGGCTACAGCTTTATTTTTGCAATCTTCTTGATTTAACCTACAAGCCCACGTTATTGCCTGAACTCTGTTGAAAGTGTAAATTTGCTCATCGTCTTTCCGTTCGTCAAATGGTACGCTTTGATACACTGTTTGCAAAAGGTCCAGAATGTGTTCCTACAAAAGTACGACTTATCAAAAAAATCATCACTAATTGGGAGTAGTACCGAAAGCGCCTCTCTGATTCTCTCGTCTCCTGTTCTCGACAACATGTTGGAAAAGGCAGTAAGTGCGGAATTCCATGTGTAGTACGAAGTTTCACTTTTCAAGAAGTCGAACAATTGGAACACTCTCTCGTACTTGTAGACGTCGATTTTTGCTAGATTGTAAATATCGTCGACCAAATGGGCTCTGTTAAGCTCGTGGACGTCACCAAAATTATTGCTTTTGAGTAGTGTTTCTATCCTATTTAGAAGATCGTCGTCGTATTGGACTCGGTAGTACCCTAAAATTTCGGGCAGATTACGTTTTTGAGCGTAACACAAACGTTATCAGTTCTTAATGACTAATTTTATAAATATGTATGGAAGCAATATAAGGATTGTAAAACAATTTGGACTGGTAATGCGTTAATGAGTTTACAATCATGCGGTACTTTTAAATTTCAATTTTAAGCCTAATTAAACTATCATGTAATTCTTTTATTGACAAAGTTGATTCGTTTTTAGCATACCTATCTGCTGGTTGTTTAGAATGATCCAGTCAGAATCTTCCAGAACTGCTTCAATAGCTAGTGGTGTATCTGGCAATAGCCACGCTCTCGCTGACATATTTTCAAATTTATCAACATCGGTGGAGAGAGTATAAGCTATAGGGACGTACCAAACGTCGTTTGGGTCAGGAGTGCCGGAAAGAACATAGCGTTTCTAAAATAAAAGTATTCATATTCAAATACGTTTTCAGGTACATTTTACAGATGCTTTTGGTAACCTGTGTAATAGTAATGGTACCATCAGTATACTCCACGTGTAGTAGTGGAAAGCCCGCTTTGTTAATCCAGTTATCCATCACTTGCGATAAAGTAGTACCTTCTGGTAGAATACCATCAGGAATTGAAGGTGCGATTCCGCTCCACAGATCCTCAGGAACAGTTGCAGCAAATTTACTACAAGAATTAATCAACGTACCAACAAATCACAGTACTTACTTATCATTTAGGTATCTGTTAAGTCCTTGATTGAAATTTGATACACCCATAACGTGTTGGAGCATTCGGAATATACTACCACCTAAAATCGACTATAGTTTTTTTCATTTAACAAACTTAAATGTACCTTTGTTGTAAGAGACCGAACCAAATCTTGAAGAAACCTGTGCTTGAGTATAAGCTTCTTGGGACAAGGCGGCAGCTGAAGGTGCAGCATCGTTCACCAACATTGGTTGAACCTGTGCAGTTACAAACTGCTTGTCAAGTTCCCAAGTTGTTTCCACCTAGAAAACCAAAATGAAACAAAAACTGTGAATGTTGGAGACAGTTACCTCGGATGTGGCGAAATATTGGTAAAGTCTGGCAAAACCTTCGTTGAGGAAAGTGTTAGACCACCATTTACAGGTGACCAAGTTACCGAACCACATGTGGGCGATTTCGTGAGAAATTACGTTCTGGATACTTTGTTTGTAAGAGTTTGACGATTCGGCTGGATCGTAGAGTAAACCGGTTTCTCTGCAATGAGAAGTTAGACGGAAAACGGAAAGTTTGATGGGTACCTGTAGGTTAAAAGTCCCCAGTTCTCCATAGCTCCTGCCGAAAAATCTGGAATAGCGACCTGGTGCATTTTTCCAATTCCAGAATCGAGATATTTAATGTCAGTGATTTTTTCCATTACGTCGATTAATTTGGGGCCAAAATCTACAGCGAGAGCACGCGCAGTTGCAGCTTCCTTTCTTGAACATACAGAATGTATCGGGTTTTCTGAACTTTCGGTACAATCAAAATCAGAAACTATGAATGCAATCAAATATGTGGACATTTTAGGTGTCGTTTCGAAAGTAGTGACCACGAAATTTGGATACCTAGAAAGTTACAAGTTACTAAATTTATGGAGCTGGTTGTTGATGTTTACTCTGGATCATCTACATCTATTCCCTCCGTGTTACCAAGTGCCAACGGCAGCAAGTCCTTCGGGCGTCTAATTTTGATATCAAACATCGCTTTGTACCCCGGTTCGTCGAAGCAGGGGAAAGCCTTCCTTGCACTTGTTGGCTGGAACTGGGTAGTACCCAAATACCTCTTTTCCTCATCGGGCCCAATGTAGTAGCTCTTATAAAACCCATACATTTCATCGGTCCGAAGCACCGCATCATACACAAAGTACAGCTTGTACCTCGTGTCTGCGGCTAGTACCTCGGTTGATTCCACAGTCAATACGTCAGTGTTCACATCGCTGGTGAAACTGTCTTGTGTTAGCTCTATAGGGATGTCAACATCTTCATCTTCCCCGTTCACTTCAATCCGGAATAGTTTCGTCTCTGAAAAGCTAATCTTGTTTGCGTGCAGTTTAATTTCATTGGTGGCTTGCAAATTGGTAAACCAAATTGATACGATTCCTCCAAATTGGTTTTCTTCGAAAAAGTTGTCTTCGATTTTGAGTTCGATGTCGTATTTTTCAATTGCTACGGCGCCGTCTGGTAAACGGTAGTCTTGAAGATCCGCTTTAGGTTCGATGGGCGTAGCACATGCATAGGCTATCAAAAATATTAACAGTCTTAACATTTCTGCGTTCACACTTTCACACTTTTGGGTTGAAAACTGGCTAGCCCCCACAGAGTGCTGGTTTTATTCTTCGTATTATCTTATCACACAGAGCGGTAGTAGGTAATGCATTTATGGCTTAATTGAACTTATTATCCCCCTTTGATATTGAGCGATAATTATTCGTTGAATGTTTTTGTTCTATTGGAATTTTTAACTAGGCATTGGAATCTTGTACCGCGATGTATTTTGACAATTTTTTTTTGAAATGAAGAGACCTAAGTGACCGTTTTTATAATTTACTAAACGGCATCGTCTTGGATGGCGCATTTTCGTAATGCAATAAAAGTAATTAATGAAGATTAAATTAATAAAGATTAAATTTAAGGTGGGTTATTTCGTTCTCAGAAATTGAGGAAAGAGATATATATGGCATAGGTCAAAATTTTGGCTCGCTTTTCGTATGCTAGGTACGAGATTTCTAGAAGTGAATTTGGGATAAGTTGTAACATGTTACAACTTGCCCCAAAGCTATTGTTACAACATGCCCCGTAGCACAATTTTCTACATTTAATTACATTTCGACAAAATTATGTGGCTTAGCGTCAAAATGTGTAAGGAATATCAAAGCTGAGTAATTTTTGAGCTACATGCAAAACTAAAAGTTTTAAATTAATTAATAACTGATACGAAAAACCAAATTTTATTAAAGCAATATTTTACATTACTTGGCCAAAACGAAACACGTGCACACATCCACTCACTACGCTGGCTCAAGGAACAGTAGTTGTGATGAGATGATGTCTTATGGTGCAAGAATTAAATTCAGTAAAATACCTGACGTTAAAGAGTTTAAATTGCGGGTAAAAATGTAGTGTTACAACTTACCCCTGTTACAACAAGCCCCTAGTTCCCCTACTTAAAGTATTAACACTAGAAACGTAATAATCGTCACGTGGGTACAAAAACTTACGTTATTCAAAATATTTCCGATTTTTCTTGAAAATAAGACGAGTTTAACTCAAAAAAATGGATAGAATTTTATCCTTTAATCACATAATAGAGTATAATTTCAGATCACTTGGATCGAACTCAATTAAGTGAATACCTAACGAGTACTGAATTGTAAAAATTGAAACACTAGGACACGTATTTGTTGTGTAAGAAAGAATTTTCTGACGAAATTCCGAGCAGTTATCCTGTGTTCAAAAATAACGTGGTGACGATATATTTGCGAATTTTCTGACGATTAGGTTGTTTGTTTATGGATAGAAATCAATAGGTTCATAAATATCAAGTTTCAACATAACATCCGGATCACAAAACTATATAATCTTCGTAACATCCAAAATTGACTAAATTAAATACCTATATTTGACTAGATTCAATATACTGGGTGACTTTATTGAAAATTATTGGCAACAATGTTACCAAGTCGGTTCGCAGTTGTCTTGATGAGAAAATACAACTAGTAGTTTGGTGGGCAAATTTTCAAAAATAAAATTTTAAATACATGTTGCCAAGCCGACAAAATTATCACAATTAACGTTTGTCGGTATTTGATAAAATTAAAAGTTCTATTAATGTTTATAAATTTTTATATTTCATAACGTAAGTAGTTTATTTCCATTATGAAAACCTGCATTACAAAATGACAGTTTATCATCCATTATTTTAACATCTATAAATAAATTTGTGATGCATCGATTCTCTTGCGCAACTAAATATCTGATAAAGCTACTTAAAACAATTATGCGTCTACGTATATAGAGCCAAAATAAACTACAATAATGTGCAATAAATTAAAAACGTCCTTCTAAAATAAAAACTGGTAGCAAAGTACCAACAGAGTCGACACAACTGACGTCATTCCAATCGTCAGGGAAGCACTTCCATCAGGTGCATCCGTAGGAGCAGAAGTAGAACCAGGATCGGAAGTATCGTCAGAACTAGAATCAGAAGGATCAGAAGTCGGATCAGAACTAGGATCAGCAGTAGGGTCAGAACTAGGATCAGCAGTAGGCTCAGAACTAGACTCAGTAGTAGAATCAGAATTAGAGTCAGTACTAGGTTCAGAACTAGACTCAGTGGTAGAATCAGAACTAGAGTCAGTAGTAGGCTCAGAACTAGACTCAGTGGTAGAATCAGAACTAGAGTCAGTAGTAGGCTCAGAACTAGACTCAGTGGTAGAATCAGAACTAGAGTCAGTACTAGGCTCAGAACTAGACTCAGTAGTAGAATCAGAACTAGAGTCAGTACTAGGCTCAGAACTAGACTCAGTAGTAGAATCAGAACTAGAGTCAGTACTAGGATCAGAATTAGACTCAGTGTTAGAATCAGAACTAGAGTCAGTACTATCTGAATCACGCTTGAAAAACTCGGTCAGCTGATTTTCAAACTCAAAATCAGAAACTATGAATGCAATCAAATATGTGGACATTATAGGTGTCGTTTCAAAAGTAGCGGTTACGAAATTAGTATCCCTAGAATGTTACAAGTTACAAAATTTACAGTGCTGGTTGTTAATGCTTACGCTAGATCTTCTTGATCTGTTGTTGCCTTCGTGTTTCCAAGTGCCAACGGCAGCAGTTCCTTCGGGCGTCTAATTTTGATATCAAAAATCGCTTTGTACTCCGGTTCGTCGAAGCAGGGGAAAGCCTTCCTGGCACTGGTTGGCTGAAACTGAGTAGTACCCAAAAACTTCTTCTGTCCATCAGTCCCGATGTAGTAACTCTTATAAAACCCATACATTTCGCTGGTCCGAAGCTCTGCACTATACACAAAATACAGCCTGTAATTCGCGTTTGCTTCCAGTTGCGTAGTCGACACCACAGTCAAAACGTCAGTGTCGTTATCGCTCAAGAAACTTTCTTCTGTAAGTACCACATCCGTTTCAACTGGGTTTGCTTCGGTTCCTGTAACCCGGAAGAGCTTAGTTTCGGAAAAAGTGATCCCATTAGCGTGCAGTTTAATTTCGTTGGTGGCCTGTAAGTTCGTAAACCAAATTGATACGATTCCTCCAAATTGGTTTTCTTCGAAAAAGTTTTCTTCGATTCTGAGTTCGATGTCGTATTTTTCGATTGCTACGGAGCCTTCTGGTAAACGGTCTTGAGGATCCGCTTTAGGCTCGATGGGCGTAGCACATGCATAAGCTATCAAAAATATTAACAGTTTTAACATTTCTGCGTTCACACTTTCACACTTTTGGGTTGAAAACTGGCTAGCTCCTACAGAGTGCTGGTTTTATTCTTCGTATTATCTTATCACACAGAGCGGTAGTAGGTAATGCATTTATGGTTAATTGAAGTTATTATCCCCCTTTGATATTCAGGGAAATTATTCGTTGAACGTTTTTGTTCTATTGGAATTTTTAACTAGGTATTGGAATCTTGTACCGCGATGTATTTTGACAATTTTTTTTTTCAATTGAAAAGACCTAAGTGACCGTTTTTATAATTTACTAAACGGCATCGTCTTTGATGGCTCATTTTCGTAATGCAATAAAAGTAATTAATGAAGATTAAATTAATAAAGATTAAATTTAAGGTGGGTTATTTCGTTCTCAGAAATTGAGAAAAGCTTTTCAATATATATGATAATCACGGGGGTATAAAATATTTCCTCATTCTAATTGTGACATGAAATTTTGGGAAGTACTGAAGAGCCTATTTGTGTCCTTTTTTTGTTTATCGTCGAGAAAAGTACTTATTATGCAACTAGAATGAAACTAAAACGTCAACCTTATTAGTAAACGCGTTATGAAAACCTTCTTTGTGTGACTTGATGTAACTCGCTTCGCTCGTTTCGTAAAACTTACACCTGTTATAACAGCATGAGCCTTTTTTAAAAATCGCGGTAATCGCAGGTATTTATGCGTCATGTTTAACAATTATTTCTATGAAAAATCGCGAGCCCAAAAATAACACTATGACGATATAATTGCAACATTTTCTGATGATTAGATTGTTTGTTTATGGAAGAGAAATCAATAGATTCATAAATTCCAAGTTTGAATATGCGGATTATGATAATGCAATTTTTTATCAAATATTTTATTGTATAACACAAAGAATTTAGTTCCATTAAGAAAACGTGCATCATAAAACAACAAAAAAAATTGTTATCATCCATTTATTTTAAGACCGATAAATACATTCCTGACGCATTAATTGTTTTTTCGCTTTAAACAACTGATAAGGTACTTAAAATAATTACATGTCAACGTATATAAAATATAGCTAAAATAAATTACAAAAATATGTAATAAATAAAAAACTACGTCATCCTACAATAAAAACTGGTAGTAAAGAATCAAAAGGGTGGACACAGCTGACGTTATTCCAAAGGTTAGCGAAGTACTTCCACCCGTGGAAGGTGCAGGAGTAGTAGTAGGAGTAGTAGGACTACCAGGAGAAGGAGAAGTAGTAGTAGTAGAATTAGAAGTAACTTCTGTGTCAAGTTCGAAGAATTCGATTAGTTGTTGTTCAAACGCCGCAGTTAGCTTCAAATTAGCCTCAGCACTTGCCAATGCCTCGATAGCTGCTGTTGCTACAGTTTCAGGAAAACCGGCTTCCAGATTGTCGAGGAAGTCTCTCAGCTGGAAAGAGGGTAACCTGATTTTGAATTACAGTAATGTGATGATGAACAAACCTTTTGCACTTGCTCCTCTCGAGTGAATCTTGCTGCCAAACCACTGAATAAATTGTTGAGGGCATTCATTGAACCATAGCTGAAAGTACCAAGTTAATTAATCTGTGTAAAGTTTGCAGTACTCTTACTATTCTGAGATCTCACGCCAGTTTGAAATAAGAAAGTCGTAGGCTATGTCGACTCCCTCTGGATTTTGCGTGTACACGCTTGAAAAGACCGAGGAGGCGTCTTGTTGGCGAATTCCTGCATCGACAGTGATGGATTTCGTGAGGAATCTACAAAACAAAGTGTCAAAGTAAAGTCGAAATTGCAACTGTGTTGACATACTCGTTTAGGACTTCTGCATCTGTGGCACACCCCAGAGCGGACAAAATCGTTGCCTGTTCTGTGGCTAAAGTGGTACTGCTGTATTCGCTCCACAGGAAGTCCCAATCGGTCCTTATGTTAGTACTGTGGCGCAGACCATTGCAGTAAATTACAGACTTTAGATTTTTATCAGGTTTTCTATAAAACGAAAACATTAATGAACGAGATTGACACAGCTAGAAATCTCATTACACTTTCGTTGAGACGTAATTTCCAAAAGCAGCCACAGCTTTGTCTACACAGTCAGGTAGATTTAGCCTGCACGCCCAAGTTATTATTTGAACCCTATTGAAAGTGTAAATTTGATCATCGTCTTTCCGTTCGTCAAATGGTACGCTTTCGTACACTGTTTGCATCAGGTCCAAAATGTGGCTCTACAAAAGTACGACTTATCACAAAAATTATCACTACTTGGGAGTAGTACCGAAAGCGCCTCTCTGATTCTCTCGTCTCCTGTTCTCGACAACATGTTGGAAAAGGCAGCAAGTGCGGAGTTCCACGGGTAGTACGAAATTTCATTTTTCAAGAAGTCCAAAAGTTCGAACACTCTGGCGTACTTGTAGACGTTAATTTTTGCGAGGTTGTAAATATCGTCGACCAAATGGGCTCGGTTAAGCACGTGAATATCGTCAATGTTTTCGCTTTTGAGTACTGCTTCTATTCTATTTAGAAGATCGTCGTCGTATTGGACTCTGTAGTACCCTAAAATTCATCACTTATTTACATATATGCTGAATCATTTGGTGGATTACGTTTTCGAACGTAACAAGCAAACGTTATCAGTTTTCAATGGCAAATTTCATAGAAGTGTCGAGAATCAATATAAAGTTCATGCGGTACTTATCAGTATCAATTTTAAGTGTACTTAATCTATCATGTAATTCTTTTAATGAGCAACGTTGATACATTTGTAGACATACCTATCTGCTGATTGTTTAGAATAATCCAGTCAGAATCTCCCAAATCTGTAGTAATAACGAGTGGTGTGGTTGGTAGTAGCCACGCTCTCGCTGACGTATCTTCAAATTTATCAACATCGGTGGAAAGAGTATACGCTATAGGGACGTACCAAACGTCGTTTGGATCAGGATCATCCGCAATTACGAAACGTTTCTAAAATGGAGGTCTTCGTTTTCAAGTACTTTTTACAGATGCTTTTGCTAACCTGTGTAATAGTAATGGTACCATCAGTATACTCCACGTGTAGTAGTGGAAAGCCCGCTTTGTTAATCCAGTTGTCCATCACTTTCGATAAATTAGTACCTTCTGGTAGAATATTGGCAGGAATTGATGGTTCGATTCCATTCCACAGATCTTCAGGAACGGTTGCACCAAATTTACTACAAGAATTAATCAACATTCCAACAAAATCGTAGTACTTACTTATCATTTAGGTATCTGTTAAGTCCTTGATTGAAATTTGATACACCCATAACGTGTTGGAGCATTCGGAATATACTACCACCTAAAATTAACTATAGTTTTTTTCATTTAACAAACCTAGCAGTACCTTTATTGTAAGAGACTGAAGCAAATCTTGAAGAAACCTGCGCTTGAGTGTAAGCTTCTTGAGTCAAGGCGGCAGCTAATGGTGCAGCATCGATAACCAACATTGGTTGAACTTGTGCAGTTACGAATTGCTTGTCAAGTTCCCAAGTTGTTTCCACCTAGAAAACCAAAATCAAGGAAAAAGTGTGAATATTTGGGACAGTTACCGCAGCCGTGGCCAAATATTGGTAAAGCGTGGCAAAACCTTCGTTCAGGAAAGTGTTAGACCACCATTTACAGGTGACTAAGTTACCGAACCACATGTGGGCGATTTCGTGAGAAATTATGTTCTGGATGCTTTGTTTGTAAGAATTGGACGATTGCTCTGGATCGTAGAGCAAAGCGGTTTCTCTGCAATGAGAGGTTAGACCAGAAATGAGACGTTTGATTGGTACCTGTAGGTTAAAAGTCCCCAGTTTTCCATAGCTCCTGCCGAAAAATCTGGAATAGCGACCTGGTGCATTTTTCCAATTCCAGAATCGAGATATTTAATGTCAGTGATTGTTTCCATTGCACTGATCAGTTTGGGACCAATGTCTACAGCGACAGCACGTTGAGGTGCAGCTGCCGTTCTTGAACATACAGAATGTATCGGGTTTTCTGGACTTTCGGTACAATTAAAATTAGAAACTATGAATGCTATCAAATACGTAGACATTATAGGCGTCGTTGCGAAAGTAGTGACCAAAAAATTTGGATCCCTAGAAAGTTACAAGTTACAAAATTTACAGTGCTGGTTGTTGATGTTTACTCTAGATCTTCTTCATCTGTTCCCTCCGTGTTACCAAGTACCAACGGCAGCAACTCCTTCGGGCGTCTAATTTTGATATCAAAAGTCGCTTTGTACCCCGGTTCGTCGAAGCAGGGGAAAGCCTTCCTTGCACTTGTTGGCTGGAACTGAGTAGTACCCAAATACGTCTTCTGCTCGTCAGGTCCAAGATAGTAGCTCTTGTAAAACCCATACATTTCATTGGTCCGAAGGTCTGCATCATACACAAAGTACAGCCTGTACTTCGTGTCTGGGGCTAGTATCTCAGTTGATTCCACAGTCAAAACGTCAGTGTCGACATCGCTCGAGAAATTGTCTTGTGTTAGATCCACAGGAATTTCAACATCTTCATCTTCCTGGTTCACGTCAATCCGGAATAATTTCGTTTCTGAAAAGCGAATCCAGTTTGCGTGCAGTTTAATTTCATTGGTGGCTTGCAAATTGGTAAACCAAATTGATACGATTCCTCCAAATTGGTTTTCCTCGAAAAAGTTGTCTTCGATTCTGAGTTCGATGTCATACTTGGAGACTGTCACGGCACCTTCTGGTAAGCGGTAGTTTTCGAGTTCCGCTTTAGGTTGAATGGGCGTAGCACATGCATAAGCTATCAAAAATATTAACAGTTTTAACATTCTGTCTTCACAGTTCACACTTTTGGATTGAAAACTGGCTAGCTCTAACAGAGTAGTGGTTTTATTCTTCGTATTATCTTATCACAGACAATGGTATTAGGTACTAAATTTATGGTCTCATTGAACTTACGATACGTGGTTTTCCAACATGTGAAAAAAAATTTGAGGTCCTTTCTGTTTTATTTTCAAAGGAATTTGACAAGATTTTGGATATTCATCAGTTTTGTTTTCGAAAGAATTTACAACGGATTTTTTGATATTTTGTTTTTGAAAGAGGTGCAAAGAAGTTGACTTTCAAAGAACCAAATTCGTGATTTATCTAAGAAAGTTTTTAAATGTAATTAGTAAGATCGTACACTGATTAGAATATGGAAACTGTTTTCCCTTTTTGATTTGTTTACTCTACAGGATATTGATAACGATCGTCTTACATGGATAAATCTTGCGAATTAGCAAATATTAAATCTAACGCGAGCTATTTTTTCTTGGAATTTGGCAAGATTCTGCTGCTTAATATAGGCTACTTTAAGCCCCTAGATCAGAGAAAGTACTTTATTGTTTATAAGTCAAGGATTGACGTATATCGCGTTATATTAATAGCGGGAATAAGTAAGTAATTATGGACTGATTAGTTTTTAATTGATTACGGAAAACTAGTGCGAACGTTGAACACGACGAATCATCTTCGAAGTCATTGTTTTGTGCAAACACATTTTTATCAATCTTTGTGATAATACTTACGAATTAAGAGCAAAACTCGGTTTAATCACAATGTGCTTATGGTATTAAAAAATTGGTCTAAAGAGTTTAGACAGTACTTCCCTCGCTGTCGGAAACTTGACGACTGCATGCCTATTGTGTTTTTTTTTCTCATTACATTTTTCTAGTGGGAATTAAAAAAAAAATTGTGATGACGTCATCAACATTTTTGCAAGGACACGTATATCAATTGAGATAGATGTAGTGTAATACTAAGAATAAAATTATTGTATTCCCAAATTTTCGGGAAAATGAATTGGGTCGTTTTGAATATTGATTTCTTATAATCAATAAAATAACGAAACAATTTACTCACGTATACGGCGTCGGTGTGTAATATCTAGAGAGCGGATTTCTGTCGGGCTAGGCAAGGCCAAACTCGGTACGGCTCGTACGGGATGCGAATTCATTGCTGTTGCGGACTGCACATCGTCTATTTGAGATTAGAATAACGCTGTTTCGTTGCACTCTGCTGTTAATTCCCGTTCTCATTTACTTAGCCGTTTGATTAATAAATCGTTAATTATATTTATGGAATTAGTACCGATTAAACGTGACGTAGCCCGACAAAAATCCGCTGTCTAGTAATATGAAAGGCAACTGAAAATCGTTTATGTATAAACATTCTTAATTTAAGATGACAAGCGTAACAGCATACGTGAGAGTCAAACAGAGAAACTGTAAACTAAACGACCATCGGTTTTATTGCTTCGACTTCCGCTTATTATATAAAACATTGGGTTTTATTTTAATTCTTGATGGTGAAATTCACAATTTGTTGATTATAAACATGTCTATTCCACATTCGCGAAACCAAGTGAGCGCATAAAACAAATGTAGGTCTGTAATGTTAAAGTCGATGTAAATAAGCGTGCTACCCTTATGTTTCAACCGAGTTTTTCCTTTAACAAATTTTGTGTCTACCAAATTGGGTTGGTTGGGGTGTAATACTAATAATAAGTGTTGCCTTTAATTTAATCAATAAAATAAATTGACTTCATTAATTTTTTTGAACCACCTCTTAAGAAAATCTAAAAAATATGAATGGAATGATAAATCACAAATACAAACTCATCATATTTTTTGCATTTTAGATAGGATTTATTCAGCAAAATTTAAGGGTGACGTCATCAATTTTTTTAGGAGGGATGAACAAATACATTTTGAACAAAAGTTTACCATGCTTATAATAACTTTAAAATATTCCCAAGATTTCAAAGCATTCGGTTTTGTAATTCCTGATTAAATCGATAAAATAAATTCACGCCTTCATTAATTTTTTTGAGTCACCCTGCATATGCAAATCCAAAAATATGAATGGAATGATAAATCACAAGTACAGACTCATCATATTTTTACAGTTTAGATAGGATTTATTCGGCAAACTTTCGAGCTGACGTCATCAATTTTTTGGAGGAGATAAGCAAATATATTTTGACTAAACATTTATTATGCTCTTTATAACCTTAAAACATCTGCAAGATTTCAAAGCATTCGGTTTTGTAGTTTCTGAGTAAATCAGTAAAATAAATTTACGCATTCATTAATTTTTTTGAGTCACCCTGTATATGCAAATCCAAAAAATATGAACGGAGTGATAGATCACAAGTACAGACTCATCATATTTTGTACATTTTAGATATGATTTATTCCACAAACTTTTGAGCTGACGTCATCAAGTTTTTGGAGGGGATAAGCAAATATTTTTTGGCTAAAGATTTATGATGCTCTTTATAGGCTTAAAACATCTGCAACATTTCAAAGCATTCTGGTTAGCAGATTAAAAATTAAATTTCAAAATGTTGTTTTATAATTTTGATTTTTTTTTCCAAAAATCTGGACGTTTCGGGTGAAAAGTCGATTCAGAGTTGTAAACTACATGTGTAGGACTATGTTATTTTATACAATTGATAACCCATTTACTATGTACAATTTTGAAGTGACGTCATCGCATTAGTGGTGGGGATGATTAGACAAATTTTGGTTAGCGTTTTACCATCTACATGATATTCTTAATATAAGTACAAAATTTCACAACAATCGGTCGAGTACTTTCGGAGATTATCTGTCTAATAAAAATCCGGGACGGCAGACTGACGGACAGACGGACGGACAGACGGACAGACGGACAGACGGACAGACAGACGGAAATGGGAGACCTATTTCTTCGTCTTCTAGGGGTCATGAAAGTTCGAGAAAACGTAAAAGTAGAGAGTCGGCCGACGGACTCGATTACAATACTTCCTTTGCTTACGCTCGGGAAGTAAAAATCAGAGTGCATACATAACATTTTAGAATTGTGTACTTCAATCATACAATAAAGTGAATTCTTTATAGTTTTGATTTTCGAAGATTTGTATTTAAAAAATTCCGTAAATACGTTTGAGATTATTTCAATGAAACTCGAATTAAAGAAATATTTCACGAGTATTCTAATGTGAGAATAGGCAAAGTCAATATCCTGTGTTCAGAGAAAACTTGATGACGATATAGTTGCAACGTTTTTTGACGATTAGATGGCTTATGAAACATAAATCAATTGTCTCATAAATTTCAAGTTGAACATCCGGATTACTTAAAATTTTCTAATTAAATATATTTGATTAGATTAAAAGTATCTCAATTTTATCATCCATTTATTTAATAACTGATAATGGTACTTAAATAATTACATATTATATAGTCAAAATAAATTACAAAAATGTGCAATAAATTAAAACATTGTCATTCTAAAATAAAAACTGGTAGCAAAGTACCAACAGAGTGGACACAACTGTCGTCATTCCAATCGTCAATGAAGTACTTGCATCTGGAGCGGGAGTGACACTAGGAGTGAAGTGAAGACTTAGTTCTCCCTCGAATCTTTCAATCCATGCAAGATTAGTACGAGCACCGTTGAGTGAGCTAGTTAGAGAAGAAGTGGCACCTCCTAAGTCGGTTTCGTTAATGAACTGTTCTAACTATAAAGAAAAGTTTATTTATCTGAAAAAAAAAGCCAAGTACTCACCTTATCAGCTTGTTCTTTGGTAGTAAATCTACTCGCGACACCACTGAAGAAAGACGCCAGAGAGCTTGCCGAACCGAAACTACAACAGAAAGATAATACATTACAGGAAATAATAAATAGCCGAAAAGTACTAGGCATTAATGTCGTTGTAGTTTTCCATCAGGAAGTCAAGCGTTATATCAATTCCTTCTGGATTGTTGCTATAGGCTGCTGAAAATACAGAACTTGCATCTTGCATTCGAATTCCAGAATTCGGGTCTATAGCTTTTCGCATGTACCTGTAAAACAGTGTCAATCATTTACACTACAACCTTCTTAAACCAGTACTCTTTCAAAATAGCCTCGTCCTTAGTACAACCCAATGCCGACAAAATCGTCACCTCCTCTGACGACAGTTTGGTACTTTGAAACTCCGACCACAAGAAGTTCCAGTCGTTTTGAATATCGGTACTATGCCGCAAGCCGTTGCAGTAGATCACCGATCTCATATTTTTATCCGGTTTTATTCCAGTTTGTCTGTAGTCACTGAATGCCGCCACAGCGTTATCAACACAATCCTGCAAACCCAACCTACACGCCCACGGTACTACCAAAACTTTTTTTAAAGTGTAAATGTGGTTAAAGTCTTTTGCTTCGTTAAACGGTACTGAATTATATAAAAGATTTGCCAAATCTAGAATGTAGTCCTAAAACATTTCAATTAGTTTGAAGTAAAGCAAGTACGGACGAGTACCGAAAGCGTCCTCCTTAGTTCCTGGTTACCCGTTCTTGCTATCATCGTCGAGAAAGCGCTGAAAGCCGAGTACCACGAGTAGTACGAAGTATCGTGTTTCAAAAATTGATAAAGATTGAGAAGTTCGCTGAAAGTTTTATAACCGTAGCGTGTAAAGGTGAAAAAGTCGTCTACGATTTGGGCTCGATTTAGTTCGTGGATTCCATCGAAGCCGGGTTTGTTCAAAGCTGTTTTTATCTTGGTCCATAGGTTTGCGTCGTAGTCGACTCTGTAATAAGCTAGGCGAAGGATTAGTTTTATTGGTACTTAAATGTGTATTGTGATAATAGTACTAATTATCAAAGTCGTTAAAGCCGATGATAGATGAAGTGCAAGTCATACCTGTCTGTTGATTATTGAGGATTACCCAGTCACTTTCGTTTCGGAGTATTCTAGTGTTCAAAGTACCCAATGGTAAAATCCAGAAGCTTGCAAGAGTATTTTGGAATTTGTTGGTATCGGACTGGGTGGTGTAACTCAGCGGTATATACCATTGTTCATCTGCGCCGGGTTCTCCGCTGGACAAAAATCTTCTCTAAAATTTTATAGTTTAGCCAAGGTTTGGTCTTTGTAAATAGGTACCTGTGTGATTTTGACGTTAAGCCCGTCGGCAGAAACATTTAGCAGAGGATATCCTGCTTTATTTACCCAATCCCTCATAAGAGTGATTATTGTATGACTTGTCGGCAAATTTGTAGGTGCATAGTCGTTGAAAGCGTTCCACAGATCATCAGGTTGCGTATTTTTGAACTGACTGTAGTACCAAGAGTTAGTACGAATTTAAAAGTCCACATTAACTTACTGTTGTGTCAAATATTTATTGATGCCTAGTTTGAAGTTCTCACGACCCATGAACGACCTCACCATCCGGAAAATGCTCCCACCTGAAATTTATCAATAATTGTTGATCAAATCGGCCAATTCTCACCTTTATTGTACGAAATCGAACTAAAGCGCCCTGAAATTTCTCCCGGAGAAGACGCAGGTGAAGACAAGGGAGCAGAATATGGTGAGGCATCACTCACAAGAACTGGTTGTAGTTGCTCAATTACGAATTGCTTATCAGTTTCCAAACTAGGATCAACCTAGAAGAAATTTTTACAATTTTGGAAAAACCCCAACAGCGATATTACGTCATGTACGGCGAAATACTCAAAGTAGGTGGCAAAACCTTCATTAAGGAAGGTGTTGGACCACCAGTCGCACGTCACCAAGTCACCAAACCAGAAATGGGCAAGTTCGTGAGCTTCTATGGTGAGTACGTTCTGTAAATTACGGTTTGAGGAGTGCACCGGATCCCAAAGGAGATATCTTTCTCTGTAGGTAATTATTCCCCAATTCTCCATAGCACCAGCCGAAAAATCCGGGATTGCAAACTGATGAATCTTTGGAATTTTGTGCGAATTGTATTTAATTCCTGTGAAATCTTCCAAAGCCCAGGTTAAATTTGGACCGTATTCGTTTGCAAGAGCTCTGGTAGCAGCAGCTTCGTTTCTGGAGCAAACCGAGTGTTGTATCCCACTTTCTATATCTGCACCGTCGGTACAAGTAAAATCTGACACCACGAAGGCTATCAAGTACGTAGACATTTTGGGAGTTGTGGCAAAAGTGGTAATGGCAAAGGTACTATCTCTGGAATAAATGTTCAGAAAATAAACTTTACCCTATTTGAATGTCGGTACTTACGTGGAGTCTATTACGCGAGTTTCTTTTGAATTCCCAATAGCGCTGTATTCCTGAGGGTGTCTTATACTTATATCAAACTCAGCTTTAAACGATGGCTCGTCAAAGCATGGAAAAACCTTCCTTGCATGTACTGGCTGGAACTGCGTAGTACCCAAATACCTAACATCTCCATTAGCATCAATATACTGACTTCTATAAAACCCATGCATTCCATCAACTCGCAGTATTCCAGTATACGTAAACTGAAGATAGTAGTCACTTGCGCCCGGCAGTGGCGTAGGTGTTGTCAGTACCAAAATATCAGTAACACTATCACTCTCATAATTCTCGTTCTCCAAAGAGATTTGAATACCATCACTGGTTTGTAGTACTACTTCAGAAATCGTCAACCCGTTTGCGTGTAACACAATCTGGTTGGTGTTTTTCAAGTTAGTGAACCTGATACTGGAAACTCCTTCGAATATGGTCGTGTCGAAGACATCATGGTCCATATTAAGTCGGATGGTATAGAGAGAAACGTCCACAGAACCTTCGGGTAGTCGGTAGTCTGTGTTTCTAGACGCATTTGAATGGATGTATTCTGGTGGTGCTGGGTCGATGGGTGAACAAGCGACCATAGAGAAAAATAATAAGTAGGAGATTTTTAAAATCATGGTGTTGAAAGTGCTTGTGTTACACTCTAGGTGGTAAAAACTGGTGCGTTTGGCAGTGTCGTCGCTTTATTCTTTGTGCTATCTTATCGTGGAAACGGTATTAGTGGCAAAGTAAATGAATTTATTGCTAGTGGTTTATCTTAAGGTTGTTGCTTAGTGGTAATTGGTGTAATCAGGTTTGACAATTTAGATGGACTTAGAGAATTAGTAGTTGTAATTGAAGAGTATGACTTTGTTTTATAAAACAACGCCTACCGCTGAATGTCTAGTAAAAAATGTTATTAATTTTTCATCAATTCAGTCAAAAGACCAGAACTTCAAAGTTTGAAATAATCTATTATTATGTTTTGAGTAAATAAAAGGCAATCTTTGTTGGCTTAGACGCACTATAATGAAGAGTGATGTAATGGAGGTATGAACTGATGTGAAGCAATTTTATTACTTTTTTTTTTATTTGGTGAGGATTTTTACCTGAATAACACATAAACAGATATCGATAATGTGACGATATTAATGGCTTAATTAATCAAATTAGCAAAAAATATTAATAAGCCGCTTACGCTCATAAAATAATATTAGCATTGATAAATAGACTAAAATAACTAAATAAAAACAAAATATTAAATATGGAACGAAATAAGGAAGGCTTATGTTTTATAAATATTTTTATTTACGGAGTGTAAGCTAAGAAAGTATGTAATCGAGTCCATCGCGACTGCTACTTTTATTTTGTCTCGACGTTTCATGACTCCTAGAATACGAAAAAATAGGTCGCGGTTGCCGTCTGTCTGTCTGTTTGTCTGTCTGTCTGTCTGTCTGTATGTCGTATGTGTCGATTTTTATTAAACTGATCCGAAGTTACAGGACCGCTTGTTGTCAAATTTTGTATGTACGTTAGGAATATCAAGTAGATGGCAAAACGTTAACCAAAATTTGTCTGATCATCCCCACCAAAAAATGAAATAACGTCATTTTCAAATTATACAACAGTAAATGTTATTTAAATTTTATAAAATAACGTATCAATCCATCTGTGGTTTATAAATCGGTGTCGAGTTTTTACAGTCAGGCATCCAGATTTTTGGAAAACAAAATCAAAATTGTATAACAACATTTTACAATTAAACAAAATTGAATAACAATTTTTCGATTTTTCGGCTTTTCGATTTTTCAATTTCTAGCTTTTCTGTTTTTCGATTGTTCGATTTTTCGATATTTTAGTTTTACTATTTTTCGTTTTTCCGATTCTTCAATTTTTAGATTTTTCAATTTTTGGAGTTTCTAAATTTTCGATTTCTCCATTTCCCAATTTCTCTCTTTTTCGATTTTTCGATTTCTCAATTTTTTAATTTTTCAATTTTTCAAATTTTTTTGGATATTTCAATTTTGGGATTTTTCAACATTGCTATTTTTCAATATTTCGATTTTTCGATTTTTTTGATTTTTTGCTTTTTCGATTTTTCAGAACTTTCGATTTTTTAAATTTTACAATTTTTGAGTTTTCAATTTTTTGATTTGTTGATGTTTTGATTTTTCGATTTTTCAATTTTTAAGTTTTATAGTTCATTGTTTTTTTATTTATCAATTTTTCGATTTTTAAATTTTTGATTTTTAGGTTTGTGAATATTTCGATTCTTTAGATTTACGATTATTCAATTTCTCTATTCCTCTATGAAGATTTCGATATTTTCGAATTAACGGTTTTTGAACGTTTAATAAATGTTTCAATTTTGAATTTTTCGATTATGGGTTATTTGGATTTCAAAAGTGTTCGATTTTTCGACTTCTCAACTTCTCGATTTTTCGATCTTTCAATGTTTCGATTTTTCAGTGTGTCAATTTTTCAGGTTCAATTTTTTGCTTTCTCGGTTTTCCGATTTTGCGACTTTACGATTTTTCTATTTCCTAATTTTTAGATTTTTTAATTTCTCGACATTTCAGTGTTGAGATTTTTCAAGTTTTCGAATTTAAAGTCTCCCGATGCTTCAATTTTTAGATTTTTTTCGACTTCTGGAATTTTTGATTTCTCGAACTTTTGATGTTTCGATTTCTAGATGTTTCAGTTTTTTAATTTCGATTTCTCGGTTTCTCTATTTCTTGATTTCTCGGTTTTTCAATTTTCCGAATTTTTCAATTGCACTATTTTTTAATGTTTCGATTTCCCGATTAAAAGTTTTTAACATGTATTTCATTTTTCCGTGCTTCAATTTTTCCGATTTGACGGTTTTTCTAGTTTTCAATTTCTCAATTTTCCAGTGTTTCGATTTTCCGGTTTTTCGACATTTTAGTTTTTCGATTTACAATTTTTGGATTTGTCAATTTTTCGATTTTTAGACTTTTTGATTTTTTGATTTCTCGCTCTTTCAGTTTCAGATTTTCAATTTCGCTTTCTCGATTTCTGGGTTTTTCGATTTTTTGATTTTTAGATTTTGCAATTTTTTTGATTTTTCAATTTTTCGACATTTTCGTGTTGAGATTTTTGAATTTCCCGATTTTTAGGTTTTTCGGTTCTTCAATTTTTTGATTTTTTAAATTTTACTATTTTTTAATGGTTTGATTTCGCGATTTATTTTTTTTAATATGCATTTTAATTTTTCGTCTTTTAATTTTTTCGATTTGACGGTTTTTCAAGTTTTCAAATTCTCAGTTTTTCAAAATTTCATTTTTGGAAATTTTTCGATTTTTCGATATTTTCGTTTTTATATCTATTAAATTTTTGATTTTTTGATATGTCAATTGCCCGATTTTTCGATTTTTCGACTTAACGGATTTCAAATTTTTGGTTATTCAATTTTCAAGTTTTCAATTTTTAATATTTCAATTTTTCTATTTTAAAAATTTTTTGGATTTTTAAAATTTTAAAATTTTCGAGTTTTCAATTTTTCGGTTTGTTGATGTTTTGATTTCCCGATTTTTCATACTTTCGATTCTTCAATTTCCCGATATATTAATTTTTTAAGTTTTAAAGTTATAGATATTACGATTTCTGGATTTTTAGGTTTTTCATTCATTCATTGATTTTTCTATTTTTCAATTTTTCGATTTTTAAAATTTTTGATTTTTCAATTTTTAGGATTATACCTAAATTTTCCGATTCTTTAGTTTTTCGATTTTCAATTTTACGATTCCTCTATCGAAATTGCGATAGTTCGATTTTTCAATTTTTCGATTTTGGGCTATTTCTATTTTGGGCACATTGGATTTCTCAGGATTTCGATTTTGCGATTCTTTTCTCGATTTCTCGATTTTTTGATGTTCCGATTTCTCAATGTGTCAGTTTTTCAGTTTCGATTTCTCGTTTTCTCGGTTTTCCGATTTTGCGATTTTTGATTTTTATATTGTCCATTTTTTTTTTTTTAATTTTTCGCCATTTCATTTTCAGGATTTTCCAATGTTTCGATTTTTCAATTTTTCAAAATTTCAGTGTTGGGAATTTTCAATTTTTCTATATTTTCGTTTTCCGATTTATTAAATTTTTGATTTTTTGATGTTTCAATTTTTTAGGATTTTACCTAAATTTTTCAATTCTTTAGTTTTTCGTTTCCTCAATTATTCAAGATTTCGATAGTTCGATTTTTCAATTTTTCAAGTAATCGGCTTTTGAAAGTTTAAATGTTTCAGTTTTGAATTTTCTGATTTTGGGCTATCTCTATTTTGGCCTCTTTTTTATATCTTCCAATTTTTCAATTATTCGACATTTCAGTTTTGAGATTTTTCAATTTCGCGATGTTTAAGTCTTCCGATTTTTCAATTTTTCCAAGTTTTTAATTTCACTATTTTTTAATGTTTCGATTTCCCGATTAAAAGTTTTTAATACGCATTTTATTTTTCCGTTTTTAAATTTTTTCGATTTGGCGATTATTCTAGTTTTCAATTTATCAATTTTCTAGCGTTTCAATTTTTCAGTTTTTCGACATTACAGTTTTTGGATCGTCAATTTTTCGATTTTTCGACTTTTTGATTTTTTGATTTCTCGATCTCTTGGTGTTTCGATTTCTCGATGTTTCAGTTTTTCAATTTCGCTTTCTCGATTTCTGGGTTTTTCGATTTTTTGATTTTTAGATTTTGCATTTTTTTTATTTTTCAATTTTTCGATATTGCAGTGTTGAGATTTTTGAATTTCTCGATTTTTAAGTTTTCCGATTCTTCAATTTTTTGATTTTTTAAATTTTACTATTTTTTATTGGTTTGATTCCCCGATTAATTTTTTTAATATGCATTTCAACTTTTCGTCTTTTTATTTTTTAGATCTGACGGTCTTTCAAGTTTTCAATTTCTCAGTTTTGCAAAATTTTATTTTTGGTAATTTTTCGATTTTTCGATATTTTCGTTTTTCTATTTATTAAATTTTTGATTTTTTGATGTGTTAATTGCTCGATCTTTCGATTTTTTGACATTTCGGATTTCAAATTCTTGGTTATTCAATTTTCAAGTTTTCAATTTTTAATATTTTAATTTTTCGATTTTAAAAATTTTTTGGATCTTATAAATTTTAAAATTTTCGAGTTTTCAATTTTTCGATTCGTTGATGTTTTGATTTCCCGATTTTTCATACTTTCGATTCTTCAATTTTCCGATATATTAATTTTTTAAGTTTTAAAGTTATAGATTTCTGGATTTTTAGGATTTTTAGGTTTTTCATTCATTCATTGATTTTTCTATTTTTCAATTTTTCGATTTTCAAAATTTTTGATTTTTCAATTTTTCAAAATTTTATTTTTGGTAATTTTTCGATTTTTCGATATTTTCGTTCTTCTATTTATTAAATTTTTGATTTTTTGATGTGTCAATTGCTTGATCTTTCGATTTTAAAAATTTTTCGGATCTTTTAAATTTTAAAATTTTCGAGTTTTCAATTTTTCGATTTGTTGATGTTTTGATTTCCCGATTTTTCAAACTTTCGATTCTTCAATTTCCCGATATATTAATTTTTTGAGTTTTTAAATTATAGATATTATGATTTCTGGATTTTTAGGTTTTTCATTCATTCACTGATTTTTAAAATTTTTGATTTTTCAATTTTTAAATTTTTAGGATTGTACCTAGATTTTTCGATTCCTCTATCAAAATTTCCGTAGTTCGATTTTTCAATTTTTCAAATTATCGCTTTTTGAAAGTTTCAATTTTGAATTTTTCGATTTTGGGCTATTTCTATTTTGGGCTCATTGGATTTCTCAGGATTTCGATTTTTCGACTTACAATTCTTCAATTTTACTTCTCGATTTCTCGATTTTTTGATGTTCCGATTTCTCAATGTGTTAATTTTTCAGTTTTGATTTCTCGATTTCTCTGTTTTCGGATTTTGCGATTTTCGATTTTTATATTTTCCAATTTTTCAATTTTTTAAAATTTTTCGCCATTTCAGTTTCAAAATTTCATTTTTGGAAATTTTCAAGTTTTCTATTTTTTCGTTTATTGATTTATTAAATTTTTGATTTTTTGATGTTTCAATTGCTCCATTTTTCGGTTTTTCGACTTTTCAGGTTTCGATTTTTGGGTTTCCAATTTTTAAATTTTCAATTTTTAATACTTAAATTTTTCGATATTAAAATTTTTCAGTTTTTCGATTTAAAAAATTTTTTTTCACTAGCAGCCTGGACGCATGCAAATGTCGACTCATTTAGTGGTAGCAAATTCAACTTTTGCTACCACGGGTTCAAAAAGAAAAATTGAGGTTATGTACCCAATGTTTGATGTGATTATTTCTTAAAAAATGAATAAATGTGTGCTACAAACATTACTTGAATATACGCATGGTAGTTGGTAGACGGTAGAAGATAAAATGATTAACTCAGCGACAAGTATAAACGGTTTTCTTTGTGTTGAAGATTTAGATTAAATTTGATTAGAAATCAAAACAAAATCATGTTGCGTCAAAAAATTGAACGTTTATTCTTCAGTTTATTGTCTTATGGTTTCTACTAGTGAAAAAAATAGTATATTAACCACGGTTGCAAAGCCACTTCTAGACCTCGCACTTAGAACCCTCGACGCTGCGCGTCTCGGGTTCTAATTTGCGCTCGGTCTAGAATGCTTGGCTCTGCAACCTTGGCTAATAATATACTATTTGGATCTTTTAAATTTAAAAATTTTTGATTTCCCGATTTTTCAAACTTTCGATGCTTCAATTTCCCCATATATTAATTTTTTGAGTTTTTAAATTATAGATATTACGATTTCTGAATTTATAGGTTTTTCGTTCATTCATTGATTTTTCAATTTTTCAATTTTTAGATTTTTAGAATTTTTGATTTTTCAATTGTTCAATTTTTAGGATTACTACTAAATTTTTCGATTCTTTAGTTTTTTGTTTTTTCAATTTGTGATTTCGACGGTTCGATTTCAAAATTTTTCAAATTATCGATTTTTGAAAGTTTAAATGTTTCAATTTTGAATTTTTCGATTTTGGGCTAGTTTTATTTTGGGTTCTCTGGATTTCTCAGGTTTTGGATTTTTCGACTTCACGACTTCTCGATGTCTCGATTTTTTAATGTTTCGATTTCACAGTGTCAGTTTTTAAGTTTCGATTTCCCGATTTTTCGGTTTTCCGATTTTTCGGTTTTTTGATTTTGCGACTTCTCGATTTTTCTATTTTCCAATTCTTCGATTTTTGGATTCTCAATCTTTTTGTGTTTCGATTTCTCGATGTATTAGTTTTTCAATTTTGATTTCTCGATTTCTCTGTTTTGCGATTTTTCTATTTTCCAATTATTTGATTTTTCGACATTTCACTGTTGAGATTTTTCAATTTCTGGATTTTTTGATCTTCCGATTCTTCAAAATTTTACATTTTTTTTCGATTTCCCTATTTCTTTATTTTTAATATGTATTTGGCGGTTTTTCAATTTTTTTATTTTTTGATGTTTCAATTGCACGTTCTTTCGATTTTATGTTTTTCAATTTTTCATATTTTAATTTTTCGATTTATTGATATTCCGATATTTTAGTTTTTCGAATTTTCGTCAAGTATTTTTCACATTATTATCTGCTGTCAAAATGATTTTTATATTTCGTTAAAATTTACTACCTAACTTTTTTCAAGTACTATAATAAATCAAGTAAAATGTTATCTAGTTACTAAATTTTTTTCCCATAGTTGGTGTTCCTGTTAATACCTTAAAAAGTGTTACTATCATCGGGCTAAACTTAGGCTGCTGACAGTTGCATCTGCAGTTTTTTTTCTTTTTCAAAAAACACATTTAATGAAGACACTAGCAGATCCATAAACCACAAGTACAGGAATATGTTTATGTTACAAAATTGAAATAGCATTGACGTCATCAAAGCGTCAGTGGGGATAATTCTTGCAAAAATTTCTCTAAATATTCACTTTCTATTAATTGTACCACGCTGGTTAAAAATAATTTTCACAATTATATCTACAACAATTAACCATCACTTAATCTAAGTGGTGCAGATGGCCCTGAAAGTTTTAATCTTGCGATTAAAGCGATTTGGAACATCATTATCAGTTTCCCAATCTTAATACCTTACATAAAATTTGATGACACTGACATTCCTTTTCAGTAATCAATATTTATGCAACAGTTTGGATATAAATAATAATAAATTCTAATAAATTAATATTTAATACTTAAGTTTTGATAATATTAGCATATTTGCAATTTTTCTATCACTAACTAGTTAGATTTTCAGAGGAGTATAACTTCTATTTTAGTTTTTTTTTTTTGTCTGCGATGATAAATAATATCTCTCAGTAGCCATAAATGGTGTTAATCTGTTAAGATCGAGAGGTACTTAAAGTTTGAAAGCTTTGTCTGTGTATTGACGTCTTTGATAGATATGTTGCATGGATTTCGAATTAAATGATTGTGATGAAACACGGTTTGGAACAAAAGCTGCTTACATAACACACTTGCGTTTATAATCTTTACAGAAATAGAACACTTGTTGAAATCTACATCTTCTTTATTGTGTTATTGAAAGAAAATTTTACAACTATTCAAAGATCGAATTTAGGGTTCACCAAACAGTTCGGATGCAGTAACTTTAGATAACAAACTACTGAAGACACTCTCGGCTACTTTAGCGCCTGCTTCTTCATAACCGCTCTTAACATCGTTAAAAACGTCCCTCCAGTTCTCGTTTATTACATTGTTGACGTTGTCACTTAAAGCTTTATCTCCGTCAAATAAATTGTCAAAATTAATATGAAAGTTTTCCATTTTTGTGTACATCATTTCAGTGTTGACCACTTTATAGTGGTTGTTTTTTTCTTCTAGATGATAAGTTATTGCTACTAAAGTGTTTTCTAAAAACGAAGGCTTAAAATTCGGCTACAGTACTACAACGTGGTACTTACTGTTGGCCATGCTTCCAGTACCATGTCCTTTGATCGGCAGAACTAAAATCTTACCATCAACATCATAGTCAAAAGTAAAGCTCAACTCTGGGTAATAGATTTCCAAGTTGAGAATGTTTGTATCAAAATCCATTCTAAAACACAATAGTGGTTATTGGAGCCACCACAAAAAAAACGAATTACTTTGCTTTGAGTGACGAGAATTCAGTAAGCTTGTTTGCTTTGACGTTTTTGAAATTTTGACTAAAGTGGACGGCGGTAGTACCAGCAGCGATATTCACTTGTGGTAAAGTCAGGGGTTCAAAATTTGGCAAACCCACTTCAGGATGAGGTTGTTTAAGTTGACGGAAAGTTACAGCCACAGCATTCGACAAACAGTCATTGAAATCCGCCTGCTTTCGGTTGCATTTTGGGAAAGACGATGCTGGAAAATTTTGTTCAGCGAGGTTTTTTAAAAAGTACTTACTAGTACGAAGTGGAGTCGACAAGCAGGAGCCGATGAAGAGTACGACCAAGATCGGTACCATGTTTGAACTTCGTAGCAAACAGAGAATAGTACTTTGCTATAACTTTTTCTTTTATATATAACGTCTTTCAGATAATTATAAGTCTACAAGATTCTGAATAAGTATAATTTTGATACGACTCGATCGATTAAATAACTACGGTTTTACGTAAAATATAACAAAACAGGTTGTCATAAATTATATTTGCTGTTTTATGTGGTATTCGTTTACGCACAGACATTTTTTCCTATTAACAACTTGTTTATCCACTGCTGGAAGAAGGAAAACCTTGGTGAAGTTCTTACAAAAAACTGATGACGTAGTTCAAATAAACCAACACTTAACATGCTACAACTCAGTTTATTTTTATTGTTAGAGTGAAAATATAACAGAGTATTTATTTATTCTTAGGTTATGGTTCACCAAAAATCTCTGATATAGTAACTTGGGCAAGCAAATTATTGAAGATACTGTGGAACACTGCAGCACCTGCATCTTCATAACCACCCTTCACATCAACCAAAACATCTTTCCAGTTTTCATTGATCACGTTATTAACATTGTCACCCAAGACTTTGTCCCCATTAAACAAATTGTCAAAATGGATAGTAAAATGCCCGATTTTGTCATAAATGGCTTTAGTTTGAACCACTTTATAATGATTGTTGCTTTCTTCCAAGTTAAACGTCAGTTTTAGTAAAATTTGTTCTAAAAAGTGAACTTAAAATTGGTACTTTTTCGGTGTTCCTTACCGGTGTGCATCAATCCAGGGCCTTTTCCTGTGATCGGCAGCATTAGGATTTTGCCATCAATGTCATATTCAAAATCAAAGTTTATTTCTGGGTATTCCGCTTCTATGTATAGAACCTTTTTGTCAAAATTCATCCTAAAACAATACCTTGGTGGTTTTAGCGTTCTAAAGTAACAAAACAGTTTACTTGGCTTTTAATGACGTGAAGTCTGTGAGTTTGGTAATTTTGATGTTTTTGAAATTTTGGGTGAACTGGACGGCTGAAGTACCAGCACCTATAGTAACTTCGGGGATAACCAGAGGGTTAAGACTGGGAATACCCACTTTGGGATAGGCTTGTTTCAGTTGAGAAATAGTGTCTGCCACCGCCTTCGAGAAACAGTCGTCAAAATCTGCTTGTTTTCGGTTGCATTTTGGGAAAGATGGTGCTGGAAAATAATGTTTAGAGAAATATTTTTAAAGAGTACTTACTAGTACGAAGTGGGTTTGAAACACAGGAGGCGATGAAGACTAGAAACAAGAACACTGGTAAGTTAGCCATTGTGGTTAGCAGCACATAGAGAATGTGGATTCCCTACAAATTCTACTACTTATATATTTAAGGGTAATTACAAAAAGTGGCTCGTTTGCTAAGAAAGAAAAAATTGATACTGCTCGGTTAATTAAAAATGCAACTTCAAAAAAGTGGAAAAGGTGGTTTTACTACAGCAATAACTCCTAAATTACTCATTTTAGTAATTATGAAAACGATTTGCATGTATTTACGTTAGAAAAATTACAGAAATGTGCAAGTTTTTGTGAAAATGTCTAGACATAATATTGTACGAAAATATAGGTTTCCATTTTAGTACATATGACTTATAAGATTTTCACAAAGTTGATGATGTACTTAGTATTATTAAAAAATACATCATGCTTTTCATCTTACACTTAATTGAACCAGATATCTCAAAAAAAGTATGATTCAATCTACCTTATCGCTTATCTCCAAAAACCTTGATACAACTTTACTGACTTTATCGATACGATGTAATAAAATTAACACAATTGTTTCTATCGAATAGTTGATGACATCATTAAGGTGCGATATTTCTTTGTTCTAATAGTATTTGTTTATTTAGGGTTCGTCGAATTTGCTGGAAATTTTGGGGTTTTGGGAACGCTGTGGTTCCAATCAGTGTTCCATTGTATGCAAGATGTGATCAAAATTAGTGTTAGGCACTTTACGCGATTTTTTAAAAGAGGCGACATCTCTCGTTGGATGTTAAAAGCACGATTTGAAAGTGGTATCGGTGTTTTGCTTAGTCGCCACTAGGTTGTGTTGATTGTTCTGGGTGTTATTTAATTCTTAAATCATTGGCTTTTTGCAACTTTAACAACATTAATCGTTGCCTGAGGACTTGTTTGATCTACAGACCAGAGCGCGCTCAGGCCATTGTCGACTCTAATAAGCGTTCAGAAGCGATTTGGTTGGATTGAACTGTAATTTCTACGGGAAATAGTTATTTGGTATTTGTATGACTTTTTAAATGTTTTTTGTGACAATTTTTGTGGTTATTTGCGATACTTTGTATGGTATTAACACTGAGAAAAAAAATGAAAAACTAAAATTCAAAAGATCGAGAAAAAAAAATTGAGACCTCGAAATAGGTTAAAATCGGAAAATCTAAAAGCAGAAAAATAAAAAAACGAAAAATGGAAAAACTGAAAAACCGAAATAGGCCAAAATAAAAAATCGAAAAGTTGTGAATTGAAAAATTCATAAAACGAGAAACTGAACAATCAAAATATTGAAACATCCAAATCTCGATAAATCGGGAAATTAAATCTTTGACAGATTGAAAAATTTTAAAAATGAAAAGTAAAAAAATCGAAAATTTGAAACAACGGAAAATTGAAAACAGAAAATCTGAAACCGGAAAGTCGAAAAATCGAAAAAGTAAAAAAATCGACACCTCAAAAATTCAGAAGTCGAAAATCGAAAAGTCAAAGAATCGAAATATTGAAAAATCTCAAAACTGAAATATCGAAAAACTGAAAACTGAAAGAAAACTGAAAGATCCCAAAACTGGAATATCCAAAAACTGAGAATTTAAAAATATTGAAAAGCTGAGAAATCAAAAAAGTGAAATCGAAACCTAAAAAAACGAAAAATTGAAAAAATCATAAACCTGACAAACCAAAAAATTGAAGAAAGAATTGAACAACAGGAAAATCGAAATAGTTGAAAGTCAAGAAATGGAAAAATCAAAACGTCGATTCATTGAAAAATCGAAAAACTGAGAATTTAGAAAAATGAAAAATTGAAAGATTGAAAAACCGAAACATTTAAAAATCGTAAAATTAAAACAAAAATTGAAAAAAAACGTAAAACTGAAATATCAAAAAATTGAGAAATCGAGAAATTGAAAGAATTGTAGAACAGGAAAATCGAAACAGTTGAAAGTCAAGAAATGGGAAAATTAAAACATCGATTAATTCAAAAATAATAATAATAATAATAATAATTTATTGTACTCAACAGAGATTAATCTCCAATTACAGAATACAAAACAAAAGTAAATAGTAGTCTATCTTACAAATAAATAATTAAATACAACGTATGCCTGCAAAATATATCTAAACATCAAGAAAAAAAAAAAAAAAATAGAACAGTAAGGATAGCTCATTATAAAAAAGAGTAGAACAAAATTCTGACGCTCTGTAATTATGTGTTATGCTGTAAATGTATGGATTTCGATTGAAAAAACTTCCTTACCGCTACACCCTTGGGCCAAAAAGATGCAGCCAGAATATCATTTTGATATACAAAATCGATAGTAAGTTTGAAAGAACTATATAACTCAGGAAATTTAGAGTCCAATTTAATAAGCTTAAAGTCAGGAAGACGTTTATTTTTCAGCACTTCTTCATGGGATTTTAACTTAAATTTGATATAATCAGTAATCTTGTTCACATCAACATTAGGGTTTACTCTTGTAATATGTATATGACTGCTTTTTTTTCTGGTGACAGCTACGAAATCATGATCACTCGATGACAAATCTGACGAACCTGAACTAGAAGCTATATCTGCTGAGCCAATAATTAACTTACTTACTTTCGGCCGACGTTTTAAAGTATCACCTGTTACCTCCTTCTCAGAAGGATTTTTACCATTGTCTGAAGAATTATTTAGATCAACTTCATTACATGAATTCGTATTAGGATAAATAATAGTGTTCCGTATTTCAGGTTCACTTTTGTTTACCACTTTTCTTGCTTCCACACCACTCACGTTTTTATTCATAATCTTACTCGAAAAAGCGTCCATTGATGATAAACTACAATCAGTGGAGCCTCCCAAGTTGTTCGAACTTTTTATCAAAATGTCTATCATCTCACTTTGCGTTTTTACACGATCCCTTAGCTCCTTTATAATTTCGTCTTTTTGTTTAATAATATAATTGAAAACAGCAATATCAACCTTTTTCTCAGGTCCACTCATTTGTTCCATTGCTTCAAAAAACTCAGAATCTTCGCACACAACAGGAGGCATTTTCACTTTATCACAGCAAACTAAAGACTTACTGTCCAAAATTTTTACATAAGATACACCCTTGGCACAACTAAGGTGGTACACATTATCACACGATATACATTTTAATGCACTGACAACTTTTGATTTACATTTTCTGCAGATTTGTGCAGACGTACCGGACTGACTACTACTATTGGCATCCATCTTGGCTCTTTCCCAAGTAAGTAATTTCTTCTAAATTCTCGAAAAACTGAGAATTTAGAAAAATGAAAAATTGAAAGATTGAAAAATCGAAACATTTAAAAATCGTAAAATTGAAACAAAAATTGAAAAAAAACCGTAAAACTGAAATATCAAAAAATTGAGAAATTGAGAAATTGAAAAACTGAGAGATTGATTGTAAAATCGAAAAATTGAATGATAAATAATCTGAAAAATCCCAAAAATAATTTCGAAAAATTAAAAAAATGAAAGAAAAACTTAAGAATGGATAAACTGACAAATTTCAAAACTGAAATATCCAAAAACTGAGAAATTAAGACATTGAAAAAATTGAGAAATTAAAGAGTCAATAAAGTGCAGTCGAAAAATCAAAACTTCGAAAAAACGAAAAATTGAAAAATCACAAACCCAAAAAATTGAAAAATTGAAGAATTGAAGAAATGAGAAATCTCAAAACTGAAATATCGAAAAACTGAAAAATGAAAGAAAACAGAAAAATCCCAAAACTCGAATATCCAAAAACTGCGAATCTAAAAAAATTGAAAAGCTGAGAAATCAAACAAGTGAAGTCGAAAAATCGAAACCTAAAAAAACGAAAAACTGAAAAATCATAAACTTGAAAAACCGAAAAATTGAAGAACAGGAAAATCGAAACAGTTGAAAAGCAAGAAATGGGAAACTCAAAAAACATCGATTCATTGAAAAACCGAAAAACTGAGAATTTAAAAAGTGAAAAATTGAAAGATTGAAAAATCGAAATATTTAAAAATCGTAAAATTGAAAACAAAAATTGAAAAAACGCAAAACTAAAACGAAATATCGAAAAACTCAAAAATGAAAGAAAGCTGAGAAATCCCAAAACTGAAATATCCAAAAACTAAGAATCTAAAAAACTGAAAAGCTGAGGAATAAAAAATCAGAAAGGTGAAATCGAAAAATGAAAATCTAAAAAAAAAAAATCGAAAAATTGAAAAATCAAAAAGCTGCAAAATCCGAAGACTGAAGAACTGAAAAACAGGAAAATCGAAACAGTCGAAACTCAAGAAATGGGAAAATCAAAATATCGATTCATTGAAAAATCGAAAAACTGAGAATTTAGAAAAGTGAAAAATTGAACTATGAATTTAAAAATCGTAAAATTTAAAAGAAAAGTTGAAAAAACGTAAAACTGAAACATCGGAAAATTGAGAAATCAAGAAATTGAAAAATTGCGAGATTGTAAAATCGAAAAATTGAATGATAAAATATTAATCTGAAAAATCCCAAACATGAAATTTCGAAAAATTAAAAAATTAAAGAAAACTCGAAGAATGGATGAATTGAAAAATTTCAAAACTGAATTATCCAAAAACTGAGAAGTTAACAAATTGAAAAACTGAGAAATCAAAAAGTCAAAAAAGTGAAATCGAAAATCGAAACCTTGAAAAATCGAAAAACTGAAAAATTAAAAACCTAATAAATTGAAAAATTGAAGTATTGAGAGTTTATAAAAGTCAAATTTGAAAAATTGGAAAAACGTAAAATTGGAAAAATAACAAATTGAAAATCGTAAAATTGAGAAATTGAGAAACTGAAAAATCCCAAGATTGAAATATCCAAAAACAGAAATTAAAAAATTGATAAATTTAGAAATTGAAAAAGCAAAAAAGTGAAGTCGAAAAATTAAAACCTTAAAAAAGGAAAAATTGAAGAATCGAAGAACTGGAAAATCGAAACAGTCGAAAGTCAAGAAATGGGAAAATCAAAACATCGATTAATTGAAAAATTGAAAAACTGAGAATTTATAAAATTCAAAAATTGAAAAATCGAAATATTTGAAGAGAAAAATGAACAAACGTAAAACTGTAATTGAGAAACCGAAAAATTGAAAATCGAGGAATTGAAAAATTGTAAAATCGAAAAGTTGAATAATAAATAATTTGAAAAGTTGAAGAACTATGTAATAAATCAAAAACCTTGAAGAATTGAATAATTGAAGAAATGAAAAATCGAAAAACTGAGAGTTTTTAAAAGTCAAATTTGTAAAATTGCAAAAACCAAATATTGAAAAATCGTAAAATTGAAGAGGAAAAAAATTGAAAAAACCTAAAATTGTAACATCGGAAAATTGAGAAATCGAAAAATTGAAAATCGAGAAATTGAAAAATTGTAAAATCGAAACATTGAATAATAAATAATCTGGAAAATCCCAAAACTAAAATTTCAAAAAATTGAAAGATGAAAGAAAAAAATGAACGGATAAACTGAAAAATCTCAAAACTGAAACATCCAAAAACTGAGAAATTAAAAAATTGAAAAATTGAGAAGTCGAATAGTCAAAAAAGTGAAGTCAAAAAATCAAAACCATAGAAATTAAAAAATTGAAAAATTGAGAAATCAAAAAGTCAAAAAATCAAAACCTTAAAAAATTTAAAAATCAAAAACCTTGAAGAATTGAAGAATTGAAAAATTGAAAAGTTGAGAGTTTATAAAAGTCAAATTTGAAAAATTACAAAAATCAAATTTGTATTTAAAAGTGGTAAAATTGAAGAGGAGAAAAATTGGAAATTGGCATCATATTGTTATGTATGTACTATGTATATGTGACGATGATTAGACAAATTTTGCTTAGCGTTTTACCATCTAGACCATATTCCTAAAAAACGTATAAAATTTGACACGTACAGATGGAAGGAAACGGAAGACCTATTTTAACAAACTCTAGGGTTCAGAAGTATCGAAAAAATATTAAAGTAAACAATAGTAAACACACTTTCCTTATTACTAATTTGAGAGGCGTATCATTGCTCCTTCGAATCTATATTCTATAGAATCAGAACATACAAGTTACAACATGTTAAAAAAAAGGTGTTATAGTATACGTTTATTTCCACTAATAGCTGTACCAGCGGCCCAGTACTTTCGGAGAATCTGGGACGGCAGACAGACGGACAGACAGACGGAAACGGGAGACCTATTTCTTCGTCCTCTAGGGGTCATTATAGGTCGAGAAAATGCAAAAGTAGAGAGTCGGCCGACGGACTCGATTACAATACTTCCTTTGCTTACGCTCGGGAAGTAAAAAGTATGTACATAAGTTCTAGAAGTGCCATACTTGGAGAATATCGAAGTTATTAATAATAATTGTTATTCTACGAAAATGACGTAGGTTTGCGATGATTTGTTTGGTTGCTTCCATCAACATCGTAATAATGTCACCTTAAAATTTTGCTTAGTAAACGCCATTTGTATTAAAAAAAATATATACTCTCATATTTGTGCTTTATGAATCCGCTTAGTTTTTGTTCATTATTATTATACATTACAATTCTTCTTCTTTAGCCAAATAGTACGTAGCCACGTACTTCTGACTCAAAGACCCGTGCACAAACGTTCTTCTTTGCACATGAAAGGTCCGGGGTTCGATCCTCGGCGGCGTTTTCAATTTTTTTATTGATCAAATCAAGAATAGTACACTCTTTTTTTAAATTATTAGTATTATATTTTCCAAAGAGAAAACTCACTAGAAACCAGTCATATCCTTGCGTTTTATCAATACATTGTTAACCTAGTATCCCGTTCCCATCTTATAAACAAATTAACAGAGTATGTTTTCGTAACATATTGAGTTCTAATCAAATGTAGTGGCGGATTATGGGTTTTATTAAAGTTCTAATTTTTGTTACATTGAGTGTCAAAAATTAAAACTCTATAAGATGGTTATTTACGTTTTTGTCAGTTTAGTACTAAAGTAATCGTACTTCTAATTTAGGAAATTCTCCAGTTTCTCTACGACTGAGTAGTTCACACAATGGAAAACTGTGGACATATTTTGCTTTCATAATATTTATAACATAACAGTCAAAAAAAAAGATAGAAAAAAATAAAATCGTCTTGTTACAGCATTTGTTTATTACCAGTTGTCACTAAATTTTACAACAAACTTTTTCTAATAAGCACAAATGAAAACGCTACGGCTCACCGAAAAGTTCCCTCGCAGGTACTTTTTCGAGAAATTTGGAGAAGATTCCTGTGAAAGTTTTGGCATTTATTTTTTCGTACTTGTCTTGCATTTCTTCAAATATGCCTTTCCAGTTCTCGTTCATTGCGGCATTGACTTTATCACCTAACTCCTTGTTTCCGTCAAACAAATTCTCAAAATTAAACCACACATTTTCCATTTTTTTAAAAGCGAAATTGCCGTTAGCCACTTTATAATAGTTGTTTTCTTCTTTTAAAGTAAAAGTTAGTTCTATGGCAAAATTTTCTAAAATAACAATTTTTAATACTCGTGTAAGTGTTAGTACGATACGTACTAAGATGTATTTGGCCAGGACCTTGTCCTTTTATGGGTATTGTTAAGATTTTACCGTCGATTTCGTAGTCAAAATTAAATATTATTGTTGGGTATTCGATTTCCAGAGTCAAGACGTTTGTGTCAAAGTCCATACTACAGAACTCCTTTAAGACATAGTTAAAATCAAGACAAAGTTACCTCGCTTTAAGTGATGAAAATTCTGTGAATTTCTTAACGCTTGTGTGTTTGAAGACATGTGTGAACTGAACGACAGAAGTCCCTTTACCCACTCGTACCAATCCCACCGGATAAACAAAAGGATCTAAACTGGGCAAGTCCACTTCTGGGTGTGCTTTATTGAGTTGGTGAAAAGCGTCCTGAACGGCGTTCGTTAAGCACTTGTTAAAATCTGCTTCTTTCCTGTTGCATTTTTTGAAAGTGGACGCTAAAACATGTAATTTACAATTATAGAAAGGTTTTATGCCATGGTAGTACGTAGTGGCACCGAAAAACACGAACTGGAAAACAGTACGACTAAAATCAGTGACTTGTTAATCATTGTGAATGGTACTGCTGAAGACTCGGTTTTAACAAAATTGTCTTCTTTTATAGGTGCGAATATAATTTTTTACGTATGTATACGTCAGTGAATAACCAATTGCACGACGTGAATTTATGACTATTTATTAAGTACTATTATTATTTAGCATGCAATTGTCACATAAAATTTAAATTAAAATAAAAATGATGGAAGAACTTTTCGTTCGCAACGAATGTCAATTTTGCGATACTTTACGACACCAAAGGTAAATCTTTCAAACTGGAAGAAAAAAAAGAGATTTACTAGTTTATCACTTACTATAAATCTAATTCGTTTACCCTTAATTGGTATTATTAATTGTTTTCTATAAATGATGCAATCAAACTCTAAACGAAATCCCGGATGGTGCACATCCCTTTGTAGTACCTTGATACCCAGGTCCATATTCAATTATTTATTGGTACCACCTGGTACTTAATTTACAACAAACTTTTTCTAATAATAAGCACAAATGGATATTGTTACGGATCGCCGAAAAGCTCCGATGCAGAAACTTTATCCAGAAACTTACTAAAGGTACTTGTAAGAATTTCGGAATTTAATTTTTGATAACCATCTTTCAGATCTTGAAATTTGCCTTTCCAGTTTTCGTTCAGTACCACGTTTATTTTATCACCTAACTCCTTGTTTCCGTCAAACAAATTCTCAAGGTTAATCCTCATAGCCTCCAATTTTTTGAAAACCATAGTACTGTTAACCACTTTATAATATTTGTTTTTTTCTTCTAAAGTAAATATTACTTCGAATGACATATTTTCTAAAATTAAAATCTTAACGTCACTGGTACGCTCTAACACGATACGTACCGGCTTGAAGACTACCAGGACCATGTCCTCTAATGGGCATTACCAAAATCTTACCGTCAATCTCGTAGTCAAACTCAAATTTTACTACTGGGTATTCTACATCTAGACGTAAAACGTTCGTGTTGAAATCCATGCTATAAGAAATCTGTTGAGATGACATCAAACCAAAAGATAAAATTACCTGGCATTTAGGGCTGAAAATTCTGCAAATTTGTCAATCTTCACATTTCTAATAACTTGACTGAAGTGAACTACGGAAGTGCCAGCACCAATTCGTATCGTGGTTATTGGAGAAACGAAAGGATTTAAGCTGGGTAAACCCACTTCTGGGTGCGGTTTATCAAGCTGGTGAAGAGCGTCTTGAACCGCAGTCGTTAAACATTTGTTGAAATCTGCTTCTTTTCTGTTGCATTTTTTGAAAGTGGACGCTAAAGAATGAAATTTACAATTACATAAAGGTTGATACTTTGATAATACGTAGTGGAACTGAAAAACAAGAAGTGGTAAAGAGTACGACTAAAATCACTGATGTGTTGATCATTGTGAATGGTACTGGTGACGACTCAGTTGCAATATTGTATATTTTCTTCTTTTATACAAGCGATTTACGTTGTTTACTGATATAATTTTTCCACTAATAAAATGTAGGTAAACAAGTATTTAACATCGTGATTAAATGCAATGTTATCACCGTTAAAAAAAAATGCAAATTAGATGGAAGCTGAAATAGTGTGTTTGACTTCAGATTAAGAATGTCAAAAATATTCCGTGTATGCTTTTGAGACCAACTATAAATTTGCGAAATCTGTTGTATATAAAACTTTTTTCAAAAATTAAACGCCAAATCCTGGTTAAAAGCATCACCTTTGCAACGAACAAAGATCAAATACAAATTAGATAAGGCAGTTCAGGTTTAAAATTTTTATTTGAAAAACTGGTTGGATTTTTGAAGGCAAATAAAACCCTGGTGTTACAACATTGTTTATTTCCACTATCAGTTTTTTGATTTTACAAGAAACCACCACCAATAAGCAAAATCCAAAATCTTATGGGTCACCAAAAAGTTCCGCCGCAGATACTTTATCTAAAACATTACTAAACATGCCTCCGAAAACTTCGGCGTTTATTTTTTGATAACCGTCTTTCAGATCTTGAAACATGCCTTTCCAGTTCTCGTTCATCACGACATTTATTCGATCACTTAACTCCTTGTTTCCGTCAAACAAATTCTCAAGATTAATCATCACACCCCCCATTTTTTTAAAAGTCATAGTACTGTTGACCAGTTTATAATATTTGTTTTTTTCTTCTAGAGTAAATGTTACCACCATTGAGGCATTTTCTAAAATTATTAAAATTTTAGTTCCGGTGGTCAGCTATAGCTCGATACGTACTGAGATGTATTTGGCCAGAACCTTGTCCTTTTATGGGCATTACCAAGACCTTACCGTCGACTTCGTAGTCAAAATCAAATTTCACTATAGGGTAGTCTATATCCAGACGGAGCACGTTTGTGTTAAAGTCCATGCTAGAAAAATTGTTACCATTACGTTACAAAATAAGGCAAAATTACCTCGCATTTAGTGACGAAAAGTCTGCAAGTTTGTCAATTTTCACGTTTTTGACAATGTGGGTGAAGTGAACGACGGAAGTTCCAGCACCAAATCGTATCGTGCCTACTGGAACAATAAAATGTTTTAAGTTGGGCAAACCCACTTCTGGGTAGGGTTTATCGAGTTGGTGGAAAGCGTCTTGAACGGCAGTTGTTAAGCACTGGTTGAAATCTGCTTGTTTTCGGTTGCATTTTTTGAAAGTAGACGCTAAAAAATAATATTTATGATTACAGAAACGTTTGATAGCGCGATAATACGTAGTGGAACCGAAAAACAAGAAGCGGTGAAGAGTACCACTAAAACCACTATTCTGTTGATCATTGTGAATAGTACTAGTTGATTATTTTTTTCTTTTATATATGCGTATAGTTGCTCATTACTGTAGTTATATTAATAAGATGCAAACAACAAGTACACGACATCTTGTTTGTAATAAACTATTAAATGCTATTATGCAGTGTGTAATCGGTGAATTTAATTACACTTGTACCTTTACATTTAATACTTTGTCCATAAAATTTTCCACTCTTAAATACTTCTTGATCTTTTGTATCTATTTCTTCGTTTTCCATTTTCTAGATCTTTTACGTTTTTAATTTTTGTATTTGTTTCACTTAATTTTTTAATTTACTTTATTTGATAAACTGTCTGTGTGAAATATTTGTTGAAAATGGTTGGATTTTTGATGGAAATGATAAAAAAATAAGAGTGAGAGAAGTTATTTGAGGTAGTACCTGGCAGCACGCGAGAAAGAAATCCGAAATTAATTATGTAGACAATGAACTGTCCGAAGCGGCAAATATGTCGACTTCTTGATTTAGAAGGGTGGTACTTCAAGCAATAACCGTAGCGATGTAGTACTTTTCTGATTCTCTCAATCCTTCAGATCCTTCCAGCATATGCTCTATTGTTTCTCCCACTCTCCAACATATCTTACACCTTCTGTCAATTTCATCCATCCAAAAATTATTCTCTTTCTCTTCATTTTCACACCTAAATCTCGCCATCATTCTTTTCTCCTTTATACTCTCTCTCTCTCTGTGTACTTTGGTACTTCATTCTTTACAAATTTTCTATACTCTGCATTATATCTAGACGCCGATATTCTCGACCTGGGTTCTTGCTTATCTATATCCTTATCTCTTACACTCAGTTCTTCTTTCATACTCCTTCCCATTTCTCTCATTCTCTCTATTTCTTCACATGCATATCCCTTTCCTTCATAATACTTGTCTCTTTCGTTCCAAACATGTTTTCACCCTTCCTTTCTTATTTCTTTCCAACACTCTTGCAATATTTTTCAATCACTAAATGCCGCAGGATGTACACATTGTCCATAGTACCTCTTCCTTTTCTAAACCCTGCCTGACCGTCTGATAACATACCTCTTGTCTCCATCTCCTTTCGTAACCCCTCATCTACTATCATTGCGTATATCTTGTACGTCGTATTTAGCAAGGTGATCCCTCGGTAGTTCTTCACATCACTTTTTTGTACATATTTTGATTTTCCTACTGACTTCAGTCTTCCTCCTCCTTTCCTTGTTTATATATCTCCGTACTTCTTCTTCTGTTTTCAGGGACTTTATTGTCTTCTCTTCTTCTTCTCGTTTTCTCCTTTTCTCGTTTTTTTCTTTTTCTTTATTCACATTTTGTCCCATAATTCCCTCTTGCTTTAAAGTACTCTTCTTCCCTTCCCCCGTTATTCTTCCATTTTTTTAATTTTTCCCTTGCTTTTCTCTTCAACTCACTATATTCTCCGTTCCATCCAGTATTCCTCTCTTGCCATATGTATATCTTTCTTTTTTCCGTAGCTTCTACAATTAAGTTGATCAGTTCTGCTATCATAGCTTCTATATCTTCTTTTACTTCGAATTTCTTTTTTTCTAATCTACTTCTGTCTTCATCCCATATTCTTTTTTCTATTTTTTTTCTTTCGTTTCTTCTCTCTTGTTTTTCGTACTCTTGTTCTTTTCCTTTGATTTTTTTTGTAGTGGCATGTGATCTGATTCTACCCTTTCCCCCACTTTGAAACTCTCTATTTCTTCCCACGCCTCTTCGTTGACGATCCCATAGTCAATAATTGATTCTCCCCTTGCCCCTACGTACGTCCATTCTCCTTCTTCGTCTCCTTTCTTGTTTGTTTCTTTGTTATTTGCTTTGTCTTTTGATCCTCTTTTCTTTCCCTTTCCTTTATCTGTTATTTTTGTCCCCTTATCGCCCAGTCTTGCGTTAAAATCCTCTCCTACAAGTATTTTTTCATCTCCTTTTTTTTTGTTTCTTTTTCTATGTTTATCTTGGTTTCCTCCATTTTGCTATAAACGATTACTTTCTCCATTAGCCCATTTTTATTATTACTTCCCTTTTCCATTTCTTGCTTTTCTTTTTGAATTCCCATGATTATTCCCCGCTTGCTCTCCCCTTTTTCTTTTCTTCAAATTTTTCCCAGTTTTCTCTTTTTATCCCCCCCCCCCACATCAAATTTTCCCAAGTAGTCCCAGAACTCCTTTTCCTTTTTTCGCAACCCTTCGACATTCCAAAACAGTACCTTCACCCCTTTTTCTCTTAATTTTGTACCAGATTCCCTTTTTCCGAGTTCCCTATCTGCATCCTTTATTTCTTTTCCTTTGCCTTGTTTCCCCCTTTTCTTCCTTTTCTTTTGGCTCTTTACTAAAAATTTTCTACCTTCTTCAGTCTGCCCTCTTCTCCATTCCATTCAAAATTTCTGCCCTCTACAGTTAACTCTTTATATCCCATTCTAACCATTTTTCCTTTATTTCTCTCTGTCAAAACAGTTACTAAAGTCACTTATTCCGTGATGGTAAAAGAAAAATCCTCATGTTACAACATATATTTATTTCCAATAACAGTTTTACATTAATTTTACAAAAAACTACCACCAATAAGTAACATTCAAAATGTTAAGGGTCACCAAAAAGTTCCGACGCAGACACCTTATCCAAAAATTTATCAAAAACGTTTCCGAAAATTTCGGCGTTTATTTTTTCATAACCAGCTTTCAAATCGTCAAATATGCTTTTCCAGTTTTCGTTCAATGCGGCATTGACTTTATCACCTAATTCCTTGTTTCCGTCAAACAAATTCTCATGGTTAATCATCAAACCCCCCATTTTTGTATAAGTAATAGTACTATTAACCACTTTATAATGTTTGTTCTTTTCTTCTAGAGTAAATGTTATCTCCATTGAGAGATTTTCTGAAATTAAAACTTTAAATCGACTCGTAAGCTGTAGTACGGTACGTACTGGGATGTATATGAGCAAGACCTTTTCCTCGTATAGGCATTACCAAGATTTTACCGTCGATCTCGTAATCATATTCAAATTTTAATATTGGGTAGTCGATATTCATACGGAAGATATTTGTGTTAAAGTCCATGCTTGAAAATTTGTTTACATAGCGATAAAAAGTAAAACAAAAATTACCTCGCATTTAGTGACGAAAATTCTGTAAGTTTGTGAACCCTCACGTTTTTAGCAATTTGCCTGAAGTGAACGACAGAAGGCCCAGCACCGAGTCGTACCGTGCCTACCGGATAAACAAAAGGTTCGAAACTGGGTAGATTCACTTCTGGGTGAGGTTTATCGAGTTGGTGAATAGCGTCTTGAACGGCAGTTGTTAAGCACTGGTTGAAGTCTGCTTGTTTTCGGTTGCATTTTTTGAAAGTTGACGCTAAAAATAGTGGTTACAGCTACAGAAATGTTTTATACCGCGATAATACGTAGTGGAACTGAAGAACAAGAAGTGGTAAGGAGTACCACTAAAATCACTAATGTATTGATCATTGTGATAGGTACTGATGGAGACATAGTTGTGTCAATATTTTCTTCTTTTATATATGCGATATAATTTAATTAGTACTGTAGTTTTTATAATAATATACAAATAAACAAGGTCACGATGTTATGTTTACAACTATTAATCACTATGTTACTTAGTATGTAATTGGCGCTGAAAAGTAAAAAAATAGTAAATAAAGTATCGTTTAGATTATTTGCTTTGATTTTAAAATTAAAACCTAGCATAATTGGCTTTAGATGTTAGAAGCAAAAATAGTACCATGTTTCGGAATCCATCCTTCTTTGATTTGAAGTGTAGTAGAACATTGTATTTGTGGAAATATAAAATCTTAAGAAAGTAACGTACACTATATTTTAAAAATACAGGAAACGAACAATAAGTAGAAAAAATAACAACACTTTTCTCTAAAATTTCCTACTTATTCTAAATTTGCGTTGACGAAAAAATACAAGTCAACAAGAAAACTACAAATAAAGTATAAGAAATTCTAAGATCAGCAGCACCACCACCTGGAGATGGCGTGGTAGTAGTACTAGTAGTAGTACTATTATTAGCAGTAACAGTTGTGGTCGTATTTTCCCCTCCTGGTGCCACTGTTGTTATTTCGTTAGCATCCAGCCATGTTTCAATAGTTCCAATATTCGAACTTCTCCACTTTTTATTGTTGTTTATAGTATTTGTGACAGTTCTAAATAAGTCACCATATTGCACCTTTTGCTCATCAGTGAGACACTCAATAATAGCATTAATCTGAAACAAGACGTTTTAACCCTTACTAAAAACCTTCTCGTTAATACCGTTTTCTGGTGAGGTTCCGAAATTAACTTCCTCGACAAGGCGATAAACATCCTTTCAATATCTTCCTGGGTGAACCTTATTAAAATTTGCTCCAGGTACTGCTTGGCAAAATTCAGAGCCACCTCGACACCGAGGTCGCTTCCCTCCAAAACTGCCATAAATACGTCTACTCTGTCGTGTTCCTTTAGATGCACAATGGCACTCTCATCAACAACCGCAGTGATGTAGTACCTCAAAATTTCAGTGTCAGATGTGCAGGCCATGCTTCTGAGAATCCTCTTTTTTCCGCTCTGCATATGCTGGTCTAATAAAAAATGAAAGTTTTCCAAAGTACCACGTCTCATGCCGCCGCAGAACACCAGTTCTTGCAGATCTGGATGTGTCGAACCTCCACTAGACAGCAGCGCGTGCATTTCTTCTTGGCATTTCGCGTATCCAAAGCTACACATCCAAGTCAAAATTTTGGTACGACTTAACGTGTCAATGTGGCTTTCCGTTGAGTTCAGAGAAGTACCGATGTTTTCATACAAGTGTTCGACCAAACGAGTTGCAAATGTCTAAAATGGTCACTCAGAAACATGTACGTGTGGAACTGTATCTTACCATAAACTTGGTCTGCGCACTAGAAGTTAGGTACAACAAACTTTTAATTCTGTTGGCTGTTTTTATGAAAGCATAAATTGGGAAGAAGTCGGTCTCTCTTTTTAAGTGCAGGATGAGTTCTAGATAGAGGGTCACAGGTAATCGGTCCAGGTGGCTAAAGTAGAAAGCATCTTCTATTAACACGGCTCGATTTAGTGGTGATATTGTATCAATATCGTTTCTAGAATTTATGAGGAACATTGCAAGATTGCGCCAATTTGGAGTGCCGTAATTCACACGGTAGTACCCTGGAAAAAATCACCAGTAAAAACGATAGGTTTTAGGTGCACGTACCCAGTCGTTCCAAGTTGACGGTAAACCATGAGGACGAAATATAGTCCCGGTAATTTGACATAATTTCGCTCCGGTCCAAAACGAAATCAAAATTGTTGGAGTCGCCTTCTTGGTTTTCAAACACAATGTTGACGGGAAGAGAACGCAGGACCAGGTTACCCTTTAACATGAGTTATTAGGAGCACACACAATACTATAGTACCACACCTGAACGAAAGTGATATTATTGTCAACTTCATTAAAGGTTCTGGTTACAGTCACCAGCGGGTACCCTTTATTTTCGATCCACGAAAGTGCCGCAGCGTTAGTTTCATCGTCAAGAATACTAGAAGCAAAAAATCAGAAAAAAAATCTACACTTTGGACAATTTCTTACTCTCCGGGACTAGGGAAGTGTGAAAACATTCGAACGAAAGAGAACGCTACAAATAGATTATTAAAATCAAGTAAAACTTCAGCGGCACGTACATTTGAGTAACTGCGATTTCGTGAACACATCTGGAGTTTGATCCTCCGGCAGTAGCACCGAAATATCGCGTCCGTCTACATCTTCCTCCAGAAGACTTAAGAGTTCTTCAGTAACAAATTGCTCGTACAGTCTCCACGTTGGGTGGAGCTGGTCCAAAACTTCATATTGATACGAAACGAGAGTTCCAATTTTCGCCCAATAGTTGGGCCACCATTCGAAAGACTCCCTCTGGTACTGCTTGATCACAGAAAGAGCTACAAGTTTCGCAATTTCTTGCTTGTCCTCCACAGATTCACGTATCTCTTTATAAACAACAGCGGATTCTCTATAATACCACATAATTACTTTTGCGTAATAAAAAGATTAAGCTTAATTACTTGTAAATGATTAATCCAATATTGTCGACGACATTTGTGACGAGAGTATTATCAGGGACGACGATCTGGTGTATTCTATTTATTTTGACAGGATAGAGCTCTTGGAATTTTTGGGCAACTTGCGATGAAAGCTCTCCTACGTATTGAGTGTCTTCTTTGGCAACACTGTAGACTGTAGTACCGTCAAATTCTTCTTTCACAAAGTCAATGATTGCGAAAGACAGTTCGTAGGGAGGGATAGGATCCGTAGGGGCAAAAACGTCTTTACTTCGATTTGTGTCACTGAAAATTGTTAATTATAGACCGAGGGAGTTTCGAATTTTGTGAGTTACTAGTCTGCGGTTGACGTTTTGGCAGTGTTAGATACTGAAATGTAGTCGTTGGGTCTCACTAGAGTTAGGGTGTAAGTTGACAAGTGGGTTAAGTCGTCGAAGCACGGGAAGACTTGTCTAGCCTTGTAGTACTTTAAGTTGGCCAGCAGAATAGTCCTAAAATTGTTGTTAAGTCCGAAGAATTACAAGAGTTAGTGGTACCTTTCTTGTTTTTGTCCTGAGACAGTTTTTGTATAGTTTGCCGCATAAAATCCATCGTAGTTCTCATTAATAGTTCCAGAAGCTTGAAAAACCAAATCGTAAATCCCGTCTTCTTCTAAATCACTAGCAAACGTTATTTCTATTGTTTCATTTTCTGTTTCTCTAATGAAACCTACACCAGTTATTTCTTCGGCTGCACTATTATAAACTTTGGGGTCTTGAATTTCTAAACCCCTTGAGTTCAATGTTAACCTGCTTACGGCTTCTTGAACCACGATTGTAATTCTTGTTTCACTTGTGAAAGTTAAGTCACTAAATTCTGGTACGATGGTGATGTGGTACTCAGTGGGTAAGGTACTATTGTCTGACCAAGCACTTGCTAATAGAAGCAAAAATAGTGTTAGGGAGATCATTTTCGTAGTAAAACCGAGGCAGATGGGTCGTTGGCTTTATATTAGCTTGGCTAAGATAACAAAGATAATCAAAATAAACAAATAAAAAAGAGATTATGGAAATGGAGAACACATGAAACAATGATGTAGAGGAATTAAGCGATTTGATAGTTCAAGCTATGTTTTGTTGTTGGATTAGTTTTTGAACGATCCATTGACAGGTTGTAATAATGTTTACACTGATGAGTTTTAATAAAATTACAGACACAGCACTTCAGCCTATTGCTGGAACAAAATTCTAAGAAACGTGCTCATCCATCACCAGCTTTGCTGACATCCTGTGCATGTAGTTCCGACGAAAAAGTTCATAAATCATAAAATTATTTATATTGCTCTCATAAACGAAAACCGAGCAATTAACTCTAATCACGCTTTATAATATGGCAAAAGTACAAAGGTTCACATGTTGTTACATAACTGCACAAAATTCAGTGAGTTAATAATAAACAGAAATAACATTTCCAGACCAAAATATTGTCCCTTCGGTGGGCATTATTGGCAAGCCTGTTGTTTCGGTTGGCAACACTTCCTTTTTTCCGGTAAATTTCAATCAAAACTCTCTCAAAGCCTTTGAATTTGAGCAATGTGAATCGATGTTCCATCACATTCGTTTCCTTGAAGTTCCGATATCCGGAGAATGTCCGCATTCTCTAATTGTTCGAATTATTTAAGAATGTTACAAAAGTGACAACTCTCTCGGTCCTACACGATAAGAATCACATTTATTTTTGCCACGAAGTATTTTAAGACGAGGCCGTTCTATCACCAGAACAGGATTAGAAAAATTCCAAAGTTCGAAAAAACAGTGCAGTCATCTAAACCTAAACCCTTCATTAAAAAAACTAGGCGACTAAACACATAAAGCCATAAAGATATTAACCACAGCTATAAATAACAAGACTAAGCGATAATAAAGTAATTGCGAAATTGCGCGAATTGCTGGAATACGGTTCTGTCTTCAGCTGGAAGGGCCAAACACAATCGTCCGGTTTCACGGCATCAGGAATCTCAAAGCCTGCGGCTGTCTATAAAGATGGCATCTTTTTCTGCGGGATGTCAGCGTTCTTTCCGAATCGGTTCCAGAGGACCCAAATAAAATTATAGTGCAACAGAGGAGTAAAAGCAACGTAAAAGCATGCACGAGAAATTCAACAAAATTGATTTGTTCCGTACGTACGGCTAGAAGCAAATAAATTCGCTTAAATGAACCGAAGACTAATTCATTTAGCGGTAATGCAATTTGAAGATAATTTTATTTTAAAATTTACAGTCAACAAAAATGAGCGGAACGTAATTAGTGCGGCTGATTAATTTTGCGTTGGTATGGAAGTGGAGCGGAAACGAAAAAAACGAGGGCCAACTTCGGGTTGTAATTTAAATAATAAGAGCGAACAATGAGTATATCTGGTTGCATAACCTCGTAATTGTGGAAGCTCCGTAAATGGCGCGGTCGGTGGTTTAGATCAATTAGTGGAATTGTTCGGACAGGTTTTATGGTTGTCTAATTCAGGTGACGTAACTTTATTGTTTACTTTTTATGGTTTGATGACACACTGTAAAGACGGATTCCTTTACGATGATAATTCTATTTCCGCTTTACGACGGGAAAATCGAAAGAATCCCCGGTTCGATACGTGATAATAAAGTTTTCGTTTGTTTTAGCGTTACGATTTGTATCAAAGGTGCAGCGGCTGGTCTGCTGACACAGTGGAAGGACAGATCCTCCCTAGTCATGTATCTTCATTCAGCATAGGCAAATTGCTGCCTTTGTGTCCTCGGGCGTATCAACTCTGTGAATAGTTTTACACAAGTTGTTTCATTTTGGAGTATTTTTAGGTTTTAATGACCTATTAATTTTTAGACGTTGGGAGAGTTTGTAAAGAGCGTACAGACAAAGGAGGATAGATTTTTGTTTGAGTTATGTCAATGTTGGAAGATAATAATAATAAAAAAGAAATAATGGTCAATTTATTTTACTTATTTATTATTGAATTGTACACATTTTCTGACTTTATTATTCAACATATTTGACAAATCTATGAAACATTTAATTAAAACATTCTGGAACAAGTCCTTCTTAGGTTTGAGGCAGATCTCTTATATTAAAATTATTTACGTGGTTACGTGTACTTGTTTTAATGTAGTGAGAAGAAAAATCAAGGAGATATAGAGATGGAGGAGGTCAAGAAGATGATCAGCGGACTTGCGACACAAATCAGAGATCATATGAGAGAAAGTAATAAACAATTATCGAAGGAATGGAATACACAGCTTAAAGAAGAGCTTACAACAATAAGAGGAGAATTAAAACAAGCAAGAGATCAACTACAGGAGCAAAATCAAGAAATTAGAGATACGTATGAAGAATGGAAGAGAGCTAAGGAAGAAATGGGAAAGAGAGTGGGTGAAGTAGAAAGTCAACTAGATCGAATGGAGAGAGAAAAGAGAAGTAATAAAGTAGTGATGATCGGATTGGAAATAGGAACAGGAGAGCAGAAGCAGATAATTGAAAAGGAGACAAAATTTTTAGAAGAGAAAGTCAAAGTAGAGAGTAAAGTTAAAAAGTTTATGTAGTGGAATTCGAAAACAAAGAAGAAAAAATAAATGTAATGAAAAGCAAGAAGAACTTAAAAGGGTCGTCAACTTAAGTTAATTTAAAATTCAAAACAAGATAAAAGAAGAGGCAACAAAAGAGAGAAATAAAGGAAAAATGGTTAGAATGGGATATAAAAAGTTAACTGTAGACGGCAGAAATTTTGAATGGAATGAAGAAGAGGGCAGATTCAAGAAGGCAGAAAATTTTTGGTAAAGTTCCAAAAGAGAAGGAAGAAAATGAGGAAAAATGGAAGAAAATAAGGCAAAGGAAAAGGAATAAAGGAAAGCTGGTACAAAATTAGGAGAAAAAGGGATGAGGGTACTGTTTTGGAATGTCCAAGGGTTGCGAAAAAAGGAAAAGGAATTCTGGGACTACGTGGGAAAATTTGATGTTGTGGGGTTACTAGAGACTTGGGTACAAAGAGAAAACTGGGAGAAATTGGAAGAGACGCTAACTCAAGACTATGTGTGAGAGTGTCAAGGGGCGACAAAGGAAAAGAAAAGGGGGAAAGGAAGCGGGGGAATAATAATGGGAATTCGAAAAGAAATGCAAGAATTGGAAAAGGGAAGTAATAATAAAAACGGACTAATGAAGAAAGTAATACAGCTGGATAACAATCGATGGGAAATAATAATCGTTTATAGCAAGAAAATGGAGGAAACCAAGATAAACATAGAAAAAGAAAGAAAAGAAAAAGGAGATAAAAAAATACTTATAGGAGGAGATTTTAAAGCAAGACTGGGCGATAAGGGGACAAGAATAATAGATAAAGAAAAGGGAGAGAAAAGAGGATCAAAAGACAAAGTAAATAACAAAGAAGGGGAAATACTGTGGCAGATAATAGAAGAAATGGGATGGGAAATTTCAAATGGAGACAAGGAGGGAGATGAAGAAGGAGAATGGACGTACGTAGGGGTTAGGGAAGAATCAATTATAGACCATGGGATTGTCAACGAAGAGGCGTGGGAAGAAATAGAGAGTTTCAAAGTGGGGGAAAGGGTAGAACCAGACCACACGCCACTAGAAGAAACGAAAGAAAAGAAATAGAAAAAAAAATATGGGATGAAGAGGGAATTCAAAGATACAGAAGTAGAAGAAAAGAAATTCGAAGTGAAAGAAGATATAGAAGCTATGATAGCAGAACTAAGCAGCCTAATTGTAGAAGCTACGGAAAAAAGAAAAATATACATATGGCAACGGAGGACTAATGGATGGAACGGAGAACGTAGTGAGTTGAAGAGAAAAGCAAGGAAAAAATTAAGAAAATGGAAGAATAACGAGGGAAGGAAAGAAGAGAACCTAAAAGCAAGAGAGAATTATAGGAAAAAATGGGAAGAAAGAAAAAGAGAAAAATGAGAAGAAGAAGAAAAGACAATAAAGTCCCTGTAAACAGAAGAAGAAGTATGGAGATATATAAAAGAAAATAATCACAATTGAGACGGGGTGGGTGGGTGGGGTTAATATTTTGCCTTTTTTCTTAATATACATAGTATTCTTTGAACAACACGATACTCAAAAGCATGTATTTAATTTCTTGTAGAGAAATAAGGATTTTGCAGTTAAGCTCCACCCTCTTGGCTCACGACGAATAAAAAAAATCATCACAATTGAGATCGGGCGGGTGGGTGGGGCTATATTTTGCATTTTTTTCTTAATATGCGTAGTATTTTTTTAACAACACAACACTCAAAAACATGTTTTTAATTTCTTGTAAAGAAATAAGTATTTTGCAGTTAAGCTCCGCCCCCTTGGTTCACAGCGAATAAAAAAAATCATCACAATTGAGACAGGGCGGGTGGGGGGGCTTATAGTTTGCCTTTTTGTTTTAATACTTGTAGAATCGTTTTCACAACATCAAACTTAAAACATGTTTAAAATGAAAAATTTGTACAGGGAAATATCGATTTTGCAATTACGCTCCGCCCCTCGGCCTGCCAACGAATGAAAAATTCATTACGATTGATGGGGTCGGGTTCTCTTTTGGTTTTCCTTTTTAATTAATACGTTTCCTTTGTATAACACGATTACTTAAAAACATATTTCACATGGTAATTTCTCGTAGAAAAATAAGGATTTTACTATTAACATCCGCCCCTCTCAGAATTGAGATAGGGTGGGTGGGCGGGGCTAATATTTTACCTTTTTTTCTTAATATACATAACCATCTCTTCACAACAAAAAACTTAAAACATGGTTAAAATGGTAAATTTTTGCAAGGAAATATAAATTTTGCAATTATAGGGCGGAACCTAATTGCAAAATCGATATTTCCTTATACAAATTTTCCATTTTAAACATGTTTTAAGTTTCATGTTGTGAAGGAACGGAGAAGGAAGTCTGAAGTCAGTAGGAAAATCAAAATACATAAATGGAAAAGACACTTTATG